AGAAACCCTATAAAGTGTCCATCGGAAAATAAATGCCTTACTGAAATCTATTGTTTATCAATGTACTATTTCATCGATTGAAAACCCAGGTATCAAAAAATTTTATATTGATATCGCAAAAAATTTTTTAAATTAAGATGGTATCAGCATATTTCTTCCTTTAAAAACAATATGTACTGTAACCGAACATCCCTATTTAAATAATTTTGGTCTTTATAAGAAATCAATAAAATGGAAAATATTAAAAAAAATACGAGAATATGTAAGTCCTTAAATGGCCCATGCCCCCTGTGTCTACATTAAAAGCTATACTATTAAATTAGCGAAATGAGCTTAGAGTCATATGTAGACATTGTAAAATGTTCACCTTAAAATATAGTTAAAGAATTTTCACAAAACTCTATGCATTATAATTGTATATCCATTATTCTATTATATATTATGGTACATGCAATATTAATTTAATACCTTGATTTTTAATTTTAAATTGCTATATATTAAAAAGACTTAATGAATAAAATAAGAATTGTATTTTGGTTAAAAAATATATAAACATTTTTTAATCATACTAGTGGTCTCTTTAAGATAAAATAATTAAAAATTATCAGATATACATATCTCTAAGAATATTTCTTTGTTGCTTAAATGTATAGTTTTTGCATGAAGTAAGGTGTTGAGCCATTAATATGACAGTTCCCTAAGATATGTATGAATACCATACATCCCCAACATCTAACCTATATTTTTAACTCTTCAACTTTAGCATTGGTCTTACTTGTGATTAGTTAAAATTGATACACCCATAAAATATAAAAATCTCGATTCCCCCCCACCCATATTAACACTTTAATAAGCAAACATATTGTTTCTTAAACAATTTTCTGTGTCACAATGTAAAATATTTTTAATAAAAATATCATTAATATATATATCAAAGGACGAATATTTTCTATGAAAATTTCTCGGACATTCAGGCCGGTAAATGTTATTTAATATTGTTTATTATAAACAGAGCATTTACTTAAATACTTGTATCTATAAAAAGAATGTTAAACATAAAAATGTCTTTAATAAATTGTTGGTCTTTTTCCATTTCTTAATGTGTGTATATATATATATATATATATATATATATATATATATATATATATATATATATATATATATATATATATATATATATATATATATATATATATATATATATATATATATATGTGTGTATATATATATATGTGTATATATATATATATGTGTGTATATATATATGTGTATATATGATAGATGTGAGTTTGTGACCCTGGGTTTCACGCTTTAGCGATCGTCAGGTCACAAACTCACATCTATCCAACCAAATATGTTAGCTCTATCTCTGATATTGAGCGCTTTCTAATAAGTCTATCTCATATTGAGATATAATATATAAATAATTATACATATATATATTTATTTATATTTATATACACTTTTCACACACACATATATATATATATATATATATATATATATATATATATAATTGGGATCAAATGAGGATTAGAATATGACAAAATGATAGGATAAGGAAACAAATAAGAAACATTTACAAATTTAATGTTTCACTTTTATTTTAGCTTCATCAGAAAATGAAATATGGAGGAGAAAAGAAAATTCTGGTATTTTTATTTTTGTGTTTCCCATTTTCCATTGGCTAAGCAGACTTCATGTGTATCTTTCCTGTCAACCAATGTTCACATGTGCATGTGTATCATAATTCTAGTTAATCTATGCATCTAGTAGGAATTTTCATCCATGTCTGGTAGTTCATTTGGGGAATTTTTGTGTGAGAGTGAAAGAATTTAAGTTATACCAGTTCTGGTTGTAGGTAGACAAATCTTAAATTCTTGGATCTTATAAAAATTAGTGGTATAATAATGTGTGTTTCTAGATGGCAAAATATTTATCAGAACTCCCTCTAAGTATTTCTGGCATAATGAATTATGCTCTTTTCTAATTAGGGTGGCATTTATAAAATCAAAGTTATGACTGATTTTGCTTCAATGTGTTATGAGCAAGTTTAATGGATTATCGCAACATAGGTATCACTTATGTTTACAGATGCAGGCTTTTTAGATGTCTAGATATTTCACCAATGTAGCTGTTTCTACATTGCAGGCATTTTATTTCATAAATCCCAGCATCTGATATGGTGTTGGATCTATTTTTATTTCTAACTATATATCTGATTGTCTTGCAGGTAGTGGCAAAGATCTTAGTGTTGGGGATAACTATTTTTTTTTTCAAATTTTGTTGACAGAGTGTTGGAGATTAGGATGCAGGGTTTTAGATAGAACACTCCACCTCGTGAGCAGATAATGAGGTGAGTTAATGCTCTTGGTACAGAAGGGACAACTGAGATGGATTAAGGTCCTTGCCACAGTTAGATATCAGTCCAGAGAAGAGGTCAGAGTAACACGTGCTGCAACCAACATCCAGGCTCACACTATAGGGAACAGATATATTCATAGATAGTAGCTGACCAACTCACTTCACCTTAGCTCAAAAGGTAGTAATCTCATAGAGTGCAAATCTCATTGATTGTAAGTACTATGTTTATGTTATATTGTTGTTTTACATTGTTTCATTTAATAAAAATTGTAAATGTATTTTATCACCCTTCTTTTCATTTCTCTTTTTCCCTATTTAGTAACTTGTATCTGTTCTTGTTTGGGAGCTCCTTGAGGTAGGGAGCTGTTATAAAATAACAACCCAATAAGGATTATGAATTTTGTGTTTAAACATTTTTCAATAGATATCTCTTCATCTAGGTATTGTGGGCTACATATTCTAAGGGCTCTGAGGAAAAAACACATGTAAATATAAGCAGTGTAGACATAGTTACCAACATTGAAATACAAGAATCGGTTTCCTGCTTAAATGCAATCGTTATGGCCTAACAACTGTGTTTAAGCTTGATATAGACTGTGGCTATTCAGTTTTGTTACCACACTGCTTATATGTATATGATAAGATATAGTTTTAAGTATGTGATATTTATGGGTAAAAGTGGTATGGGTAAGGTATGGTATATTTATGGGTAAAAATTGACAGAGTGACAAGAGTCTGTTTCATCCTTGAATACACACACACATAATGAAAAAAACTTTCACCAATGATAAGTGCATATAAAAAAAGAAAAACTGAGAACTATAAACAGTCAATACCCCCTACCCACCCGACAAGTGGACAGACAGGTCCATCTACAAAACTCTGGAGTCAGGATGCTGAAGGTAACATCAATCAGCTAAGTGACAAACGTTTTACTTATATTAATTCTAATTAATATTTTCTATGAAAATTTCTCGGACATTCAGGCCGGTAAATGTTATTTAATACTGTTTATCATAAACAGAGCATTTGCTTAAATACTTGTATCTATAAATAACAACGTTAAACATAAAAAAAAAAGTCTTTAATAAATATATATATATATATATATATATATATATATATATATATATAAATTAACTGATTTAAAATATGTTTTTTTTTGCTACAGAGTTCTAACCATGTTTTAAAAATGGAAGCTAAAGGCTTCGAATTTAATTTTGTAATTAAATTGAAGACATTAGTTCCATTTCATCCTCAAACGAATTTTCGAGTAACTTATTTTTAAAATTACTGTTAATTAAATTACAAAAAATGTTTAGTAACCATATATAAATCATATAACCATATATAAATCCAAAATTTAATAATTAATCAGTTTGTCTGATGATCCCAAATAGCATGAAACACAGGGTCACAAACTCACATCAATCCAACTAAATATATGTTTATCCATGATTACAATTCACCCGCCCTTATCAGAAGTAGCTATATGGATGTTTTTGTTGTTAGCTAATTCTTTTAGGGTTTTTATGCATCTTCAAGGAAGTGCAGTGTTGTTCGTTTTTTTGTATGTAGCTGTGATTAGGCCTTGGATATAGCCTTTGGTAAAACCAGAGTCATTGTGGTAGTGATTTTTAATTATGTAATCTGTGATTTCTAATTGTGTGTGTGTGTGTGTGTATATATATATATAAAAGTGAACATAGAAGTCAACACTTAGACGCCTCTAAGTGTTGACTTCTATGCTCGCTTTTATATTTACACACGCTCTATCTCTGATATTGAGCACTTTATCCCACAAATACAGCACACCTTAGGACTATATTTCTTTATATATATATATATATATATATATATATATATATATATATATATTATGTATTTGGGCAGCAATCCCTCTTTTATACAAATTTCATTAAAGACAACTGACAAGGTACTGTGGTTAAGCTTTTTATTTAAATTTTCTTGCGTTCGAACAAGTTTTTTCTTTTCTGGACATTAAATAAAGGCTAATGGAATAGTACTTGGATAAGCAGAACATTTGGACAATTTTTACAGGAACTTCGCAAGAAGTCATGACAATTCACAGATGACAAAGCAAAAGAATCTGTGGAAAAAGATGGCATTAAAAAATATCAACAAGAAAAGGTGAAAAAGTAAAAAAGAATCAAATTCATAAAAATAACCACAACATTTCTATTTTAATTGCTGCATGTGGTTGGTTCAGGCTAATTTATCTTTGTTGTTTTGTCTTTTAATGTACTCACTAGCTTTCCTCAGGCGTGTGTCATGCTCTGGAATGTTGTTGGATGCTGAATTGGGGAGCATCTATAGGTGCTTGGAATTGTCTTATCCTGACCTCTGTACTCAATGACCGCCAATGGAACTTTGCACATGCTTCTGGAGACAGAATTATGGCTTCCCAAATTCATTACCTATTATTCCATGATTAATGGCTCTATGCTTGGTCTGCTGATCAAATTATCTGTGTGTATAGAACAAACGGCAGATTCTTTCAGCCTCCAATGCTGTTGCCTATTATTTTGACTTCAATAAGAAATTGAGAAAAGGACTCATAAATAACTCCAATTAAATGAAAGCCATTAATGAGAAAAACTTCTTTGTCTTACCTTTTTACTTTTGAGACCTTTCTTTGCACTTTTATCTTTCTCAATCACTGGAGTACCTCTCGATCCTGCAACATTTGTTTCTCGAGTTTCACTTCTTCGGCTGACTGGAGGCTGAAATAAAGCGGATCAGAGCAATTTAAAAACAAAATCAAGTTCATATATTAAATTAAAAAACAAAAAAAAACAAAATAAAAGTTTTAAAATTTTAACAATGGCTGTAGGACAACTAATTGACAGTTGAGGCAATAGTGTCTGGGCATGATAAAATCTGATGCAATCACGGATGACACAATATTTTTCAAGGCTAAACAACAAATTTCATCATACAGCCCAAAAATAAATTCATATTGCTGCACACCACGCCAAATGACCTAATCTGAGGAAAAAATAGAAATCAATTACACTGTCACTCCAGTGGGTCTAAGACTGCTGTATGGTGAAAGAAAACAAACTAAAGTGGTTGTTTCAATTAATTTGCACAAGGGTATACACACACACACACACATATATATATATATATATATATATATATAGTTTATGCAAATTTAGGTAATCTGTATGGGTAGACCTGAGGAGGATGATATCCAGAGAGCTCAATGTAAAATTCAGAGCAGATATGTTTGACTTCAGAGACAGATGCAACTTATGTTTGAAGGAGAAAATCTTCATAATCAAACATAAAGATCCAGACATACTACTAAATAGACACAATGAACTAGTTTTTAAATGCCAGCACAAAAACAACCTAAACCTAAGCAAGTACACTAAGAAATAATCATATAGGAACAGCAATTTTGAATGTTTTATATTCCCTTTGTTTTTAGAAATATTACTATGCACACGTGAACACTAACACATGACTGTATGTATACAACTATGATAATGTATTTGGACACTGAGACATCTGTTGATATGTACATGTATATGTTTTTATACGGAAAAAGAAGCATACCATTTTTTTTTTTTTTTGTGAGTGTGGAGATGTACAATTAGTTAGGTACTTATATGTTTTGCCATAAATATGAAAGATCGCGTAATATTATAGGTGTAAAGACATAGATAATGTAATTAAATACTGAGATAGGATTCGAACGCAGGCATAAGTGGATGCACAGGTGGACATGAGGATAGGGACAAATATGTGGGTAGATATATGTAAGTGCAAATTAACGCATATGTGGGTATGTAGATATTCTGCAAATTGCGTGTGTGTGTGTGTGTGTGTGTATGTATATGTATGTATGTACGTATGCATATATGGGCGTGTGTATGTATGTGTATACGTATGGATGTGTAGATATATATGTGTGCGTATGAGTATATATGGATATGCAAATGTCCTTGTGTGTATATGTATATATGTAAGTATAAGTATACATAGAGATAGGTATGGAGACATGTGGATGTGCGTTTTCTCTGCAGGTGTATATGTGTAAAGATGGAAATATACATATATCGTTTCGTGTGAATGTGTGTGTAGGTGTATATAGAAACTCATAGGCATATAAGACGATATAGGTATGTGGTTACAAATAGGGGTTTACGGCATGTGTAGATAAGAAAATGTAAAAGAAGGGCCTAATTTTCTGCTAGTGACATCTCTTCCAAACTTCTCTAATATTCTCCAATTGGAAGTGAATTCTAAATAGCACGAAGGGAAAGTTTTAGATTAGTATTTTAATTGAGATTGAAAGATACTACCCCAATGTGGAAAATAAAATTATTTAAATGGGAATAACTGTTGATAATTGGATACATAAAAACAACCACGAGTTTACTTAATGAACAAAAATCAAATGAATAAATGTCAACCTAACAAGCTATAAGATAAAAGTTTTAGTGGAAAAAGTACTAAATATAAATGGGATTACTCTTTCAATGTTCTGTCTATGGATTTTTCCAATCGACTGCTTCATAGAAAATACCCAAAACTCCACCGAATTTCAAATTAATTTCTTCATAGATTGTTTTCAAAATTTAGATATTTATCAAACCTTAACCTCCCAAATATGCACGTTAAAGTAACGCGAACTGACAGCGTCTAAGAATTTGAATGAAACCTGTCGTGTAATTTATTGGGGTTGTTGGAACGTCTTCCTTAATGTATCCCTTATCGCTCACCCCTTAACCACCTTTATCTAGAGACAAGACGCGTTAGATTTGAGCACATCCAGCCGACACACTGGGGTTAAAATAGGAAACTAAAATGATACATATGACACACTCATATCCTCTCTCCCACCTCACTTCGTTAACTTTGCGTATACTTGATGAGGTCCGTAAAAAACGTGTGAATTTCTTTTCATTTTTCATTTCAGCTTTTGGAAGTAAAGTCTGATGATCCAGAACCCTGTTAAAGGGGTTATGGTGAAATAGCTTATTACATGGAATCTTAATGTGGTCTGTCTTTTATTCAAACAAATATATATATATATATATATATATATATAGGGCGATGGGTAAATTGCTGTAATTTTATAATTTTAAGTTTGTGTATTGTTTATTTTTGATTTTGCTGACTGTACAGTATAGCAGGGTCAGTTGGGCACCATCCATGAGAAAAAGAGCACCATGATGCAATTCATTCCACCAGAAATTTGGAAAAGGTATGCTCTACTGCCTGACATTCACATTGGAAGCTCCAATACGAACATTTCAGAGTGTTTGGGTGTCAATCTGAGGACAGTGCAGAGGATTGAGAGTGATGAAAACAAAATATCTAGTCAACATCATGGAGTTCGGAGTGATCACGGGTGATGTTATGCCTCCAGAGGGCCTCAGACTGAACACGGTGGCCAACATCAAGTGTCTTGAGAAGGTAGTGCTGCTCTGGGTATCTATGTCAGGCAACAAGACTCTGCACCATGCCACACAAGCAAGAGAACCCAGTCATGGCTCTCAGATAACTTCTACAATCACACCACCACCTATACATCTGGCCACCTAACTCCCCAGACTGCAATCCTCTTTTTAAAGATCAAACTCGACTGGAAACCAAGAAGCCGGAAGAGAGTTCCACAAGTGAGAAGTGCAAGAGAAAAACTGTCTGCATAAAGCTTACAGTTACATCTAACCATTTCAACTGTAAAATGATGAGATCTTACCACCAAATCTAGTACTGCACTTTAAATTCATAAAGTCTAGATACCAAAGAGGAAAGCTCTTCAGAACAATTACCATGAAAGTATTTATAGAAAAAGCACAGAAAAGCTGCATTACAGTGGTGGAAAATGGACTGAAGGTGAGATGCCAGTTCAGGACCAATAACATTGCAAATTCTTCTTCAGGATTTTATCACGACTCTCTAAATATACAACAGAAGCAACAGATCAGATGTTGCAGCAATATTTGAAGCATGGATGAATGGTAGGCTTATAAATGTATAAGGTAAATTATGGCGGGAAAAATTGTCTAGCAGAAAACAATGAACCAACTTTCCTAGCAGCAGACCTAGCAAATGATTCAGTATAATCATGTATAATTGATTCAATATATCTTCATGTCATTGTAGTTCATCTAAGAAGGTGCAATAAGTCACTCTTCTGGAGGTTAGCTTAATCTAATTAATGATGGTGCAAAACTAAAACAATAGCAACAAGGATCTCTTATTAGTCATAATTGTTATATTTTCATGATCAACAATTTTATTCCTTTTCACATTTAAAATAACCATTGCCTATAGAACTGGAAAGAAGAGATAAGTTAATTAAAGAAATAAATGTCTGTGCATTGAAGTTTTATTGTGAAGTTTTTTTATACGTTCGTCTGCATCAGTGAAATTGGATTACATGAATCTTCTTTAGACAGTTTTAATGAGCTTAAAACTCTGGGAAATTATGCTATTTTTAAAAATTATTTTGCCTCTTACAATTTGTTTTTTCTATCAAATTGTTTTTGAAGTATGGATGGACATAATATCAAGAATAAAATAAAAGACCTGTATGTAGGAAGCACATACCGACATGGGTTTTAAGCCATCGTTCCCTTTTTCAGCAATTAGCTTCCTCCTTTCCACCACTTCTGTTTGGGTCAGTGGAAATCTGGAAATTACCTACAAAATCACAAATGTTGAAGGAGTTTTTTTTTTCTTCAATTGGGAGGGGTTAAGAGAATGAATATTAATTTGACCACGGAAATGGAAACAGCGTAATTTTTTAACCAAAATCTATGCACATCAATCAAAATGAAACACAGCACTATTAGATTCGTCAACCAAAAGTTACATGCTTCAATTGCAATGATGATGGCATGATTAACTTGTTTTGATTAATAGGAAATTAGTGGCATTAGCTTGGCTGACCAAAATCTGCTTGCTTTAATCAAAATGGAAATAGCACTACTACCTTAGGTAATCAATATCTGCTTTGATCAAACTGTTACCATTTTAAGTCTACTAACCAAAATCTACTGGTTTCAATGAAAATGGTACCATCAAATTGGCTGACCAAAATGATTAAAATGAAAATGGTACCATCTACTCAAAATCTACTTGCATAAAACAAAATGAGAATCATGCCTTTTGTTAAAAAGACGTAATTTCTACAGTCAAAATTAAAATTGCACTATTCACTTGATTAACCATAACCTACAAGCACCATTAAACACGTTTAACCAAAAGTCTATTTGCATTAAAAAAAAAAAAAAAAAAATGGTACCATTGGTTAAATAAAATCTACTTGCCTTCAAATAAAAATAGCACCATTAACTTTGTTAAATTATTAATGCCCACCATCCCATTTTTGGATTTGTTATATGTAGAAACCTAGAATATCAGATTTCTTTATAAACTTATAATTAATGCCAGATATTTCCTTCAAATTTATAATACCAAATCCTTTTTTTTTCTTTTGAAGAAACATATAAGTAATACTGGACTGTTTTAAAAACTTAAAATTAATGCTAGTTTTTTGGGGGAGTCGGAGGGGTGAGAAACCTATAATACTGGATATTTTAAAAAAAACCTATAATTAATGCTAAATTTTCTTTTTCTTTTGAGAAACCTATAATTTCAGATTTTTTTATGAACTTATAATTAATAATAGGTACTTTAAAATACCTATAATTAATCCTACTTTTGGGTTGTTTTTTTTTTCAGAAACCTACAATATCAGATTTTGTTTTTTTTTTTTAGAAACATAATTTTGTAGTTGCATTGGTTATATTTTCTACAAGAGTCATTCACAGATTTTTATCTTTACAATTAACTCTATTGTCACATGTAAGAAAGAATTCAGCCTTTTAAGTCATTAAAAGTAAAACTATCCAATAAAAGCTGACATAACAAGTACCATTAAAATATAACAGCAATATTAAAGTACTTTTGCAATTGCATTGGTTTGATTTCCTGCATGAGTAATCTTGGATTTTTATCTATTCAATTGTATTGTCACAAGTAAAATAATTCTGCTTTTTAAATAGTTAAAAGTAAAATAAAAAAAAATATGAAACAAAAAGCATATACTAGGAACCTATACTCACTACTAACTAATGAGATAATATAAGGTAAGTTCACTTACTGGAGTAAAGTAATGCTTTCGGTTACCATAACAACTGAATATCTCATTAGTAGGGAGAAATTAGGATTCATAGCCAATAAACTATATATTTATTGGTCACACTGTTTTATACAAGGCACATGATGAAAAAAATCTTTCCCAAACCAGTATTTCAATGATAAAATTTCAGAATACTAATTTTGAGAAATGGTACAGTTGAGCTGAGAACTTTTCAGCACCTTCTCTTATGACAGAACGGTTTCATTTTATCAATATTCTTAGTTAATTGTGCCCTGTTCTTAAATTGCTTAAAATGGGAAGCAGAATTTCCAAGTTCTTGCAGGGGAATTTCAATTTAAACATTATTTTTTAGTGGCTTGAGTAGATGGATTTATTAAAATTATATTTACTTATTTTTGTCAGCCTGAATATTTGAAAAATTTATTAAAGAAAATTTTGCATTTTTGAAGACAGAAATGGGTAAACTTGTTGTTGTTGTTACTATTCTTTCTCCGCCTTGGCAAGCATAAATCAATTGTCAAACAAAAGAAGACATTGAGTATGAGTAAATAAATATATAATTTATTTACATATATTGTTGCTGTAAAACAGGGATATTTGAAATGAACATTATTTTTTTGTTTTTTCTTTTCAGTGTGTCAGTGTTGACTTCATACACTGTTCCTGAATATTTGAAAAACACTGGTCTGTTTCAAGTGTTTGAATTTGAGTATATATAGCCGTCAATCAGCTCAAAATCAAAGTTTTGTTTTTTTTAAGCTGTGATATATCCCATGACATAAGGGTGAAAGATACAAAACCTAGTTATCATTAAAATAAAAACAGTTTATGTTGTAAAGCTATCTGAAAAGCAAGCATTCTTAAAAAAGAATGACAGGCTCTATGCTTTGATCTTGAGCTAAAGATGATGTTGATGCATGGCTGGGCTTACCTCACAATCTTCTACACTTAGGGCTATCGTAGTGTATCCACTTTTCATTGCTGGTCATGATATGATGCAAAAACCCTTTCCTTTTCTGCCATTGAAGAAGCTGTTCACACATGACAAGGAATGACTGGTCATAATATATTGTTCATTTCGTTATGGTTAAAGTGGATATATGCGTTGAGATGATATGCAGAAAACATATTTACACAGTCTGCTTTGAGTTGCCGAGTGGTCAATATTCAGTTTGTGTAGAAAATGTAAGAGGCACAACAGATTTCCAAATATTCAGGCTGGTAAACAAAAATAAATCAAAACAAAATAGAAATTTCTGTACAGAGTTCAGATTGACTTTTGTACCTTAAGATCTACTAAAAGTTTCTTTGGAAATCAACAGTTTTGAGCCTAAGCTGTGATGTATCTCATGACATAAGGGTGAAAGATACAAAACCTAGTTATCATTAAAATAAAAACAGTTTATGTTGTAAAGCTATCTGAAAAGCAAGCATTTGTAAAAAAGAACGACAGACTCTATGCTTTGATCTTGAGCTAAAGCTAAGAGGATTTTTTTTCCACCAAAATAACATTTAAAGTGATAAAATCTGTCAGATTTGTAAATATAAAAGTCTATAACTGCTTTAGAAATTTGCACTTGAAAAAATATAAAATATACTTACTTCTGCAAGATGCTTGGCTCCAGTATCCCCAATGGTGTTGTGACTCAATCCAAGAACTAAAAGTGTTCTGTTTATTCGCAAAGCCTAGGAGAAAAACAAGCAAAATAAAAAAGAAAATCAGTATTTCTTGATTTCAATAACAGTTACAAGCTCGACAGCCTGATTTATCGATAATATAAGGATTAAAATGTGTTTACTTCCAACACTTACAAAAATAAGTATTTTTAAATCAACTTGTGTCACACAGTGGGCTCAAAAGTTGACATTTGGCATTTTTGGAAAATCTAAGTGAAATGTACAATATCATGTCAGAAAGTAGATATGTAGCGAGGAAAAATAATAATAACTCACTTCACCTACTCCCTTCTAATTCAGGTGAGCTGATGAAGAAAAGGGAAAGGAATTTGCTAGCTTATGGACCAATTCGTTGGACCAATGAAAGCCTTGCCTGAAAGTACTGTCCATTGCTAGCCACTACTTTTTCCCCATCTTTCTGGCAGCATTTGAATTTTTTGCCTCTTCATAAGAATAAAAGTGCTGCTCAGCCAGGCCATGTGCCATCGATTGGAACAAGTGATAATTGGACGGAGCAATGTCAGGTGAATATGTCAGGTGGGGGTAGGACTTCCCATTTAAGCGTTTCCAAGTAGGTTTTCACCCATTTTGCAATATGTAGCCAAGTGTTGTCATGTTGCAAAATCACTTTGTCATGTCTCTGCTTGTATAGTGGCCATTTTTTCTTCAATGCTTGGCTCAAATGCATCAATTGAAGTTGATAGCAATCTCCCATGATGGTTTTGGTTGGTTTGAGTAGCTTATTATAAACAGCACCTAGCTGATCCCACCAAATGCAGAGCAGAAGCTTTGAACCATGGATATTCATCTTTGCCACCAATGTTGATGCATGGCTGGGCTTACCTCACAATCTTCTATGCTTAGGGCTATCGTAGTGTATCCACTCTTCATTGCTGGTCATGATATGATGCAAAAACCCTTTCCTTTTCTGCCATTGAAGCAGCTGTTCACACATGACAAGACACCATTTGATGTCTCTCTGTTTCAACTTATATGGCACCCAATATCCTTGCTTTTGAATCATTCCTAATACTTTCAAACATTTCGAAATTGTTGCGTGATTAACTCCTAATGATTCTGCAAGTTCAGCTTGCAACTGACATGAGTCTTCATGAAGTAATACCTCAAATTCTTCATCTTCAAACTTTTTTGGTGTGCCAGAGCATTCTTTATCTTCAACATCAAAATCATTATTTTTGAAGCATCTAAACTAACCTCTGCATATTGTTTACAACAGAGCATGGTCACCATAAGCCTCAACAAGAATTCTTTATGCTTCAGCTGCAGATTTCTTTTGAATAAAATAGTGCAGTAAAATTCCACACAAATACACTTTCTTTGGCACAAAATCCAATATGTTTAACACTATGAAAAACAAAGTTGTTTACACTTTGGTGAAATGACATACACTGAATTTCAAGCTTGCTTATAGTACTTCCTTATAGATGCATTACCATCTGAAACTACATGCACACAGTTCTGGGAAAACCATCTGTTGGAAAAAGTGAGAACTTACTCAAGGACCTAATAGTATAATCATTTCCCATGCATTCCTAATAGTAAAATCATTTCCAATGCATTCCAAATAGTAAAATCATTTAGAGTGCATTCCTAATATTAAAATCATTTCAAGTGCATTCCTAATAGTAAAAATCATTTCGAGTGCATTCCTAATAGTAAAAATCATTTCGAGTGCATTCCTAATAGTAAAAATCATTTCGAGTGCATTCCTAATAGTAAAAATCATTTCCAATGCATTCCTAATAATAAAATCATTTCCAATGCATTCCTAATAATAAAATCATTTCCAATGCATTCCTAATAATAAAATCATTTCCAATGCATTCCTAATAATAAAATCATTTCCAATGCATTCCTAATAGTAAAAATCATTTCCAATGCATTCGTAATAGTAAAATCATTTCCAATGCATTCGTAATAGTAAAATCATTTCCAATGCATTCGTAATAGTAAAATCATTTCGAGTGCATTCCTAATAATAAAATCATTTCCAATGCATTTGTAATAATAAAATCATTTCCAATGCATTTGTAATAGTAAAATCATTTCCAATGCATTCCTAATATTAAAATCATTTTTAGTGCATTCCTAATAATAAAATCATTTCCAATGCATTCCTAATAGTAAAATCATTTCCAATGCATTCCTAATAGTAAAATCATTTCCAATGCATTCCTATAATTGAAATCATTTCCAATTCTTTCCTAATGGTAAAAATTAGTTGCAATGCATTACTATTATAGTATGAATCTTTCAAATGTCATCCACTTTTGCAATCTTACTCATGTCAACTTATTCTTTTGTCATGAGCTTTGTTATGTATCTATTTTAGTTTTTCTTCATGTTCCTGTTTAATATTAACTTTGGATTGAAATATCCTGATTTTATTATCAGAAGAGGGTGATATGGCTATTAATAGCTAGTTGAAGTACTAATGAAAAGACATTGTTCCCCACCCCCTAATTAGAATGAAGGCAAATTGTACATACATCAGCCAGATGCTTGACTCCTTGGTCACCTATAAAATTGCCTGAAAGATTGAGGGAAGTGAGTTTTATGGCCTCTTTATCAGAAAGGGCTATGCTGATGCTCTCTGCTCCTTTGCTTGTCATCTGACAGTGTCGAAAGGATACATACTCAATTCTGTGGGATAAGTCCAAAAGTGACAGAACAATTGGTAAGAAAAACAAGATAAATAAACAAGAAAAAATATCTGTCTATATTTCTGAGATGGAATATTGTAATTATTTAAACTATTTACTTTGTTCGAACTGTTGTTCTTATCTTTGTTACCATATTCACAGCATTTGGGCTATTGTACACTCCAACCTTCTGCAAATGATTGGAATTTCAAACAGAACCAATTATTTCATCCAATGGGGTAAATTGTTCTTGTTCCACGTACCATGCCTCTTTCAGATGTCTCAGTATCAGTTATCTCCCTTTAACTCAACTCTCCAAAGTTTTTGTTCACCTCTGCTGTAACCATGACCCAGTGGATAAAAGCATTGGTTTAATTTAGTGACTTGACCCAAAGAGTTTTGAGTTCAATACCTGGCTACAGAAGAGGTGAACAAAACTTGGAGAGTTGAGTTAAAGGGAGATAACTGATATTGAGGCATCCAGAAGAGGCATGGCACATGGAATGAGAACACTCTACCCCAGTAGACAAAATAAAGGGTTTAGTTCAAAATTTCAATCCTGAACAAGGCTAAAGAGTACAACAGCTGAAATGTGAATATGGCAACAAAGAACAATCTAGTGTAAATAAGAAAGTTTGCAAAGAGTTTTTGACAATTTTTTAATAGGTGTCAAATTGATAATAACAAGTGATGTTAAAATTCAGCAAAATTTTCATGCACAAAAAAACATGCACACTCGTAAACTTGCTTGCTTTTCTTTTTTTCTAAAACAAAAATATATTGGCTATATAAAAACTTTATTTTTTAATTCATTTTTTTTATCCAACATTATTTTTACTGGGTACACATACTTGAGTGGCTCTCTTCTTTTTTTAACAGTGAAATTAAAAACAACCGGCTTAGATTGAGAAGTTCTAGGAAAAAAAGATTGTGCCGCCAACAAGAATTGAACATGTGTCCCCTTTTCAATCAGAGAAACTGTTTCTATAGCTGGAATATGCCTTTACCACTTCAGCCACAGAGGCCGCATTGATGGAGCAAGGTTTGAATTACCCATTTCAATTCCTGACAAAAGTATAATCTTTTTTTAGTAGAACTACTCAATCAAGGCTGGTTCTTATTAATTCCACTGTTTAAAAAAAAAAAAAAGCAGGCATAGCAAGTTGATAAAAAAGTAATGTTTATAGTAATATAAAATAATACAGACCCACATCAATTCTTAAATGTCAAACTTAAATTGTAAACAGTAATTTATTTATATTCATGGACTTATATATTTAAAGAAATATAACAGAAATGATTCAATATAGAAAATTATTTGCAAAACACTCTTTTTATTAAGTTAATTTAAAAATACAGTAGAATCTCAGTTCACAAATTTAATTAACTCATGAAGGTCAGTCATGACCTGAAATTTTCATAAACCAAAGCTATTAAGGAATCAATGTTAAATGGATTAATCCATACCTGGACCTCAGATGATTGCTGATGTAAACTTTTACAACTGTACTTTATGCACAAGTTCATACACAAAACCAAGAAAAATCATTAAATTTAACACAAAAAGAAAATATACAAACTATTTACATTATTTGAACTATTGTCCTCATCTTTGTCATCATATTTATTACAACGTTTCGGCTGTTGTATGCTCCAGCCTTCTTCAGGTGGTTGGAATGTTGAACTGAACTCTTTATTTCTGGGATAGACTGTTCTAGTTTCATGCTCCATGTTTAATGGTCATCCATGTTTAATTATCAGTTATCTCCTGTTAATTCCCCTCTCAAAGTTCTCCATTGCCTTAACCGGGTATTGAACTCACAATCTTTGTCACTGGATCTAACCAATGCTTTTATCTACTATGCCATGTGTCGTTGAGGACACATGGCACAGTGGATAATTAACAGGAGATGACTGATAACTGACATTCATTAAACATGTCACATGGAACTAGAACAGTCTACCCCAGTGAGTGAAATAAAGGGTACAGTTTGACATTCCAACCATCTGAAGAAGGCCGGAGCATACAATGGCCGAAATGTTGTAATAAATAAAATATGAGGACAATAGTTTGAATAATGTAAATAGTGTACATAATACCTTATGTCAGAAATATAGACAATATATATATATATATATATATATATATATATATATATATATATATAAGCACAATACTAAATGAATAAAATATAGACAAAAACTTTTACTGCACCCATAAGGCAGGGAGAGTTGATGGTGGAAGTTGGTGAGGAAGGGAAATGGGAGAGATCTCATTGTTTGGAAGGAGAGATCCTTTGTATAAAAAACATCAGGTAACTGTTTTTCTTCTCTTTCTCTTTTCTGTCTTTTAGCACAACTCAACTCTGCTCAAGAGTCATTGGGTATCAGCCTGTCCCCCTAAAAATTTGTCCAATGAGATTTGTTTTTGTCTATGTTTTAAAAATGTTTCTCAAGTGAGATATGGCATTGTCATTGAAAATGTTTATGCTGCTTTATCATGAAACTTTGCATCTCACCCCCTTTTACAGATCAAAGACCCCTGAACATCTTCCCTTCCTACCTCTTCCTCTGAAGACATTTCCTCCACAATTACCCACCTTGTCGTCAGCTTGCATGTTTGGCGCTTAAGACACCATTCATCACCCAAGACACTTTTTGTTTGGAAAATTTGTTTGTGAATGGAGGTTTCACTTAAAGAGGTCACTGTTCTGTAGGGGTCACTGACTCGCCCTAACTAATTTATATTACGCAAATTAGCACAAAATATGAAACAAGAAGAAACACATTCAACAAGAGAAGTTCCATAAGTAAGTAGAATTTATATATGCATAACAACAATTGTACAAAACAGGAATTCAGTTGTGTTTGAAATGCTGAAATTTACTTGTCCTTGGAATTTTGAGTGAGGTTTGTTTGTTTTGTTTTATGGCATATCAACCTCAATGGGTCATTTAATGCTGACAAATTTTTTTTCCTGGTAATATTTTTGTTTTGTCAAAAATCTATTTCTGGTAATATTTTTTTTTCAAAAACTTATTGCTGGTAATAGTTTTTTTTTTTTTCAAAAATTTACTTCTGGTATTAATTTTTTCACAAAGTATTTCTGGTATTAAAATCTATTTTTACACTTTCATAATGCTTTTTACCTCAGTTTCAGGGGGGTTAACTATTTGTGTTCATAGCTGGGACCCTAACAGCTGCTACCACCCCGAGTCAGGGTGGACCTGGGAACACCAGCAATTAAGAGGTAGTTCCACACTCCTCAAAACCTCCTGATCAGAGGCCTTGCTGTTGAACGTAGTTTATCGTCTTACCCTGGATGCGGATGTCATTGAGATTTTCAGTGAGGAAAAAAATTCTATTTGATAGACTGCAAAGTGTATTAAAAAGTGTGTGAGTTTGAAGATGTAGTGTTACTTGTAAGAGAATTAAACAGTTTGAAAATAGTGTGAAAAAACGTGTGTGGGTGTGTGACTCACAATGTTACATTAAGAGTTTCTGTCCTTGTAGTTGTAATGAAATGAAGAAATATAGACTGTAGTTGTGTTAAGGCAATAGCTTAACATATAGTCAGGTTTTCCATTACTTATCTGCTTTTAGCCAAAACATTTGTGATTCCCTAACTGCAATTGTCCAAAACTGTTGTTGTGTTTTTTGTTATCAGGAGTGAATGTTCACATGTATGCGCATGTGTGTGTATATTTCATGGTGTTTCCTCCCAAAGGAAAAAATGCAAATTCTCCACAGAGCTTTACATGGTTTGTAAATGAGAATAGAAAAGAGATCAAGAGAAAATGTCACCAAGTATTTATAAGTAATTTGAACCATGTAGTAGACTTGAAAACATGTTTACATTTTTTTGGCACATTCTTTGAGCAGGTCAACTGTGTGGATGTAGGTGGAAATGTGACATTAGTATTTCTGAACCAATCAGAATAAATCAGTTGCTATATTTGATTTAGATCCTATATTGTGTTTAGTTGTGTAGGTTTTTAGAACTATGTAGGATTTGAATCCTACACACTATAGTTTATATATAGCCTACCTAGACTGAGAGAATAACAGGAATACTTAAACAATTTTGCAATTTCTGCATCCTGGGATTTTTATCTATATAATCAAATCTAGTGTCAAAAAGGTAGATTTTCTTCTATGTGCCACATCTCTTCAGGACATAAACAATCATGGCTCTAATTTCAGAGTATAGCCTCAACTCCCGCAGTTGGCATAAAAAAGTCCATTACCTTGTTTTCTCATGTTTTTGGTCTTTCAACTTCTTGGTTCTAATATTTATCTTAAAGCACCTCAACCAATTGTCGACAAAATCAGGAATCTCTAGAGCTAACAGACATCTGATTGCCGCCACCATTGTCATGTGTAGTAGTAGTATTGGCAAGTTGCTCACAATTGCTACTTGCATTTATATAGATTGTCTCTCATCCATATGCAAATAATTATGTTCATACATTTACATATTATTAGTATAATTTACTTTGCTAGTCATAATTTACCGACAATCTAGTGCTAGGAAGATATTTAATAATTTCCCACTCACCAGGTACTAATATTGGCATTAGTGTATCTATTGATATACTAACACTGAATAAATAAATACACAATTAAAACATTTAATAAATACAAAAGAATATTACAACAAATCGCATGTATCCCCAAATAGATGAATGTACATGTTGATCCAAGAACAAGCATGTCAGACTGAAGTACGTAAAAGATAAACACGAAATGTCTTATTTTTTCTGGTTTCCTGACAAACTGAAGTTGAAGACTAAGGTCTCGTTTCCACTCAACAGAATACAGAGAAAATAATGTCCATTCTCCACATATGTAGACTTAAGGAAAATGAGATGTTAACTGTTCTATGAACAAAAGCATAAAACTCCTCTCAAAGCAAGTTTTGGTAAGGGGCTAAATTCCCACGTGACCAATGGATATGCAATGTCCTAAGCCTCATCACCAATCTAAGGGCAGACAATTATTGTCTCCTTACCATATCATTACAGTTAGAAATAGTTATATCCAAAGCATTTAAATGTATGAGACCAGAGAAGCAGGAAGTAAACTCAATCACACACTTACAGACTGTCTCTTCCCAAAAGTTCTCCATAATTTTCTTCTTCTACATGTATGGCATCCAAGAACAGCTTCCTGTAAAATAACAGTGATCATTAAAACAATTTGTTTTTTTTTTTGTTTTTTTTTTATCATGTCATCCCAAGCAAGGTAATAAAAGCCACAAGGATGCAAGGGGTTACTGAGAGTGAAAGAAACAGAGGGGACAATAAAAGAATAGGATTCAAGGAGACAGAAGATGACGAGTGACATTGCAATTAAATTATTCATAATCATAGTTGACAGGAAAGCAGGAAACTGAGAGTTCCATAACAGAGAAGTGTCAAAGAAAAAATTATGAGCATAAAATTTGCAATTACCACTAGCAATTTTAACAGTGAAATTAAGACTATATTTCTGAGATGAGGTATTGTAATTATTTACATTGTTTGGACTGTTGGCCTCCTCTTTATTGCCATGTTCGTTTCGGGCGTTGTACCCTCTGGCTTTCTTCAGGTGATTGGAATTTCAAACTGAACCCCTATATTTTATCCACTGAGCTAGATTGTTCAAGTTCCACATGTCAGGCTTCTTCTGGATGTCTCAGTTATCTCCGTTTAACTCAAATCTCCAAGTTTTTGTTCCAAGCATAGAAATGAATACAATATGGGAACCAGTAATATAGAGAGCTAGAGAAAAGCGATACTAACAGCCAAAATTGCAATATGAGCTCTTAAAAAAAAATGTTACTGAAACATTAAGCTTATGTCCCCAAAATTCATATACTGATGTCCTCAGGGACACATGGCCTAATGGATAAAAGTTTGGTTTTAATCCAATGACTTGATCCAAAGAGTTGTGAGTTCAATACCTGGCTACAGCAGAGAGTCGAGTTAAAGGGAGATAACTGATACTGAGACATCCGAAAGAGACATGGCATGTGGAACTAGAACAAACATATCTGACTGGAATAAAGAGTTCAGTTTTTTCAAAACCTGAAGTATTAATCAGACGCTTTGAACATGTTGGAACAGTCCGAACAATGTAAATAATGTAAATTTTCTTCTGCTACGTGCCATGTCTCTTCAGGATTTTCCTATTTTCATTTTCTGATCAAACTTAATTCTTAAGTTAATGATTGAATAAGTTCATGACGGGTTCAACAACAATAAAATATCTTTAGAAATTCCCCTATCTCGTTAAATATTTGAGCTTAACTTTAACAATATATTGTAACAGCAATCATAAATATGAATGTTGGTCTTCCCTTTATTCATTCATTTTCTCACTAAGACCAAGTAGTGTCTTTTCCCCTCTTTCTACATGATCAAAACAGAATAGTCCATTATATATAAGGTATTGGCAGGGTGTAATGGTCGTGTGAACTAATGAAGGAAGAGACAAGCACAATTATAATAGCATAATATGGTAAATAATAAATATTGCATTGTAGTTGGTTCACATATTTTTATAAATTGTAATATTTGCAAATAAACAATCTAATAAAATAAATATCGTTTAACATTTTTGTTGTCAGTTCTCAAGAAAAAAAAAACTGTATAAATCCAGTTTCATATGTTTGTGTTTTATTAAAATTCTAAAAGTAGTTTTTTTAAGTCAACAAAATTGCCATCTTATACATTTTTTCAAGAGGAAAACTGTCTTCTTGACACCATTTTTTTTGTTGGTACTTATGTTAAACTTTACCAAATTTTTATTGGAAGAAAAATGTCAATTGAATGACAGAATTTTAAGGATGTAATTCGTCTTTTGGTAACTTTCAGATGTTATATTCAACAATTATGGTTTGGTTTGTTTTGTTTTTACTGCAATAAACCTATATCATTTAATGCTGACAACTTTTCTTTTTTTTTTTCCTGGTAATACTTTTTGTTTTGTCAAAAATCTATTTCTGTTAATATTTTTTCCTCAAAACTGGTAATTTTTTTTTTCAAAATGTATAGCTAGTTTATTATATTTTTTTAAAAAAACAACACATATAACTGATAATACTATTTTTCTCAGATTAATATTTTTTTCCAAAACATATATTTGATGATAATATTTCTTTATAGCTTTGGTATAGCTGGCAATATCATTTTTTCAAAAATGTACAGCTAACAATATCATTTTTCAAAAATGTACAGCTGGCAATATCATTTTTCAAAATTATTTATATCATTTTTCAAAAAATTTTATTTAAAAAATCAGCTGTTATTTTTTCAAAACGTGTTTCAGAGGCTTTTGTTGGATGTAATTCATAAAGGACGTATGTAGTTTATCTTTTTAAAACCCAATAAAATGTAGTTTATCGTCATGCCCAGAGTAGTTTATCGTCATACCCAGGGACGCGGATGTAGTTTATCGTCATACCAGGAATGCAGTAATAGTGAGGTCTTTTTGATATATCATTTTTTTGTAGGTACCATTCGTTAAAGTTTACCCCAAATTCAGTATTAAAATAAGCAAATGTGATTTGACTTGTCATAAAGTCAACCAACAATATTTAGGGGATGGGTACGTAGTGCAGTGGCTATCAGCATGAAATGTGTGACTTGGTGGGTCAAGTTCAAATTCCATCCAAAGCTGTTACATTTGCTTTTGCACAAATACCCTTAGAAAAGTACAAATCCATCTTTTCTCCCTCGCACTAGCTAGGGGTTAACAGCGGGGCAGACTGGACATTTCAGCTTTGGTTGGTAGCCATTCTAGGAGAAAGACTATTCTGAATTCAAAACTAGACTAGCAACTCAACCTCATAAAAAACTTGTTCTATAAGCCACAACTGCAACAACCTAATGTGCTGAGGCTGAGACCCTATGCTCCACATGGGGAGTCTATGGGGGGGGGGGTACCCATCATACATACAGGTTCTCTCAAGGAGAGTGTAGATAAGTGAACACTCCAGCTGCAAAACAAAATTAAAAAAAAATGTTTTTTATGAGGAGATACTTGTTTAGGATATATAATCTCTAAGATTATACTTACTTGAGATTAGCACATTTTGGTAAAAGTGATGCCAATAAAGTTATGGAGTTTCCATCCAAGCCGGTGTTCCAAAGACTGTAAACAAAATAAATATATAAAAACAAACTTAGAAAAAATGATGTGTGTGTGTGTGTGTGTAACGAATGCATGGCTGCAATTTTCGACTGATTTGCACCAAAATTTACATGCACATGCTCCAAGTTAGTGGGAAGGCCAAGACCGACTTTGCATTTCCCAACTCCCATCGATAGTGGAAATAATCGTTTTTTTCATGCTTCTACGGCAGTTTTCATGTAGTTTGCGGCTATTTTCTACTGGCCAGAGTGAGAGCCTATAGCTGGCTGCCATGAATAGGCAGGAAGATTCTATTGGCCAGCGTGAGAGCCAACAGCTGACTGACATGAATGTTAACTAGCATGCTAGCATGCAAAAAAAAATTGATAGTTGCATTCGTCACAAGTGGGAAAAATTTAAATCTGCATGGCACTTTACTCCAATTGGCTCATTCGCATGCTTAAACTCAACGTTGATTCTGATTCCGCAGAACTGTGTTGGGTATGAAAAAGTATTTGATTTGTTGTTAACATTCTTTTTTCATTCAGTTTTTCCAGTTACAAGTCCTTTTTTAAAGCTGATTGTTTTGTGTTCATTTTGTTTAGTTCTTTTTTTGTAACAGATTTAATGTTTAGTATAGAGCTTAGAAAAAATTTGCAGTGTGAGATAGGCAAGAAGTAAGGCATGTAGCAACATCAGCACGGTAAAGGGCACTCCTTTAAAGGCAAGGAAGGGCAAAAATATTTTAAATCAAGTGATAGCTGTACGAGTCGTATGATTTATAAATCAAGCATGGGCAACGCTGGGCCATGCTGCTAGTGTGTGTATATATATATATATATATATATATATATATATATATAAATATATAAAAAGATATGTTTAGTAGTACAAAATTTTATGACTGCCATGAACTGACAAAAATTAGTTTTATTATTACCACTCATGATAATAAAAAGCAAAAATGAAAACAGGCTAGCTAACCAGTTTCATACCTCGCTCAACAGAGCTAAATAGAGTAAATTATATATATATATATATATATATATATATATATATAATAAAACAATGGATAAAGGATAAAGTGTATTGGTGGGAGAGAAAAATATTGACATGGTTGGAGGCCTAATATAAAGTCCTTCTGTTTACAAAGAGAAGGCTTTAATGATAGAATATAGATGGCCTCCAACACTTTCAGGTGGTAATTTGAGTGGGACTTAGGATGGTAAAGGCGTCTGCACTAAAACTAACAGCACAATTATGGCTATTTATAAGGTGCTCTGTGATGGAAGACTTGTATGTATTGGTCAAAATGTCCGAGGGAGTGTACTTAAGGTTTCGGATTTTTGCTGGAACATGTTTTATTCTAACATCCAACCTTTGCATCGTTCTATATATGTACTGCGAATCACAACTACATTTAAAAGAATAAATTAATGAACTATTATGATGGGGTGGGAGAACATCCTTACGTATAGACGGAAGGACAGGCCTGGCAGAGAAAACAACACAAGTGTTAGCGACAAAGTAACAATGTTGAACTACAGTAGAAACCTGCTTAGCAAACCTATCACTGATACTACGTAGCCATGGATTTCTTTAGTATTTGGTCAAATGTGATAAGCAGACCCACATTACTTCTTCAGTTGAACATGGTCTTTCTCACTTCTTATTTTTGATGTTATTTAGGGTTGAGAAGACTAATTCACATAAATAAGAAGTAGAAAAATTGCAATGAAACTGATAAAGCCTTTTTAGCTAATGTGGAATATTCCTTTTGTATTGAAATCCAAAATGTATCAATGGGTTCTGTCGAATGTTTTATTTTGAGCCAATCACTAGAAATGGTGGCTAATTCTTCTTCTTCACATAATTGAAGTCCAATATTAGAAGGAACATTTATGAAGGTATTTTGAGTCCAACCATACTCTCACGGCACACTTAAGGCACACCAGTTGAAGATCAACTTCCCTAGCAGCACACTTATCAATAGCTAAAACAGACACTTGGGACTGTCAATATATGAATATATGCTGTTACACAATACTTACTTGAGAGTGTTGAGTTTCTCCATGTAAGGCCAACACTGCTGAAAGATATTCAAGTACTCATTTGCCATTTTCCAACCTAGGAATACAAAAAGAAAAAAAATCAAAAAAAGGAATTTTTAAATTTTGAAAAATTAAAATGGCCAATGCTTTCATTTGAAAATCCTTGATGTTCTACTTGTAATGGCTTAAGCTTCCCAGTTTATATATATATATATATATATATATATATATATATATATATATATATGTAAGCAAATGTAAATGGATATAGATCCGACAGAATGAAGAAAAATTTGGAAAAAACAAACAAAAATCCTTAAATGCAATTATGTTGTTTAAAATGAATGAAATGTCGACGTCTGACGTTTCGATTTAATAAACCTTCTTCAGGATAACATTCATTAAAATACAATTCAGTTCAATTTGACAAAGACGATGGACATAAAAAACAAGTCTTATCCAAAACAGATAACTGAAAATTTTAAAATGATCAGCTTTCCGTTTAGCATGGTCACATTGTCGTCACATGGGCGACGCTTTCAAAACGTATTCCTAAAAATTTTTGATTATTTTGAATGAAAAAAAAATGAAAAGAATTCTATTAGGATCTAAAATTTTTATGTGTATGCTTGTCGAGCATTAATCTCGCTAAAAAAGGGGAAATAATAAAGAAACCAGGTCTAGTATTCACCATGCGTGAGATAGATATTATACCTGCTTCATAATACCATGAAGGTATTAAAATATTTTCATAATAAAAATCTCAGGAGGATTTATTTTTCTTCACATATATATATATATATATATATATATATACACACACACACACACTAGAAAGAACTGAAAATTTCATGGTTTTCCTATTTTAAATTTCTGATGAATCTTAATTCTTCATTTAATGGTTGAATAAGCCCATGATGAGTTTTAGAACAAAGTGCTCAATGTCTGGAATAGAGCATATGTAAATATAAGCAGTGTAGGTAAAGATTGAAGCAGAATCATCATAATAAGGGAAATATGTTGTTTATGGTAAATATTTTGAAAGAGATGAGTTGAGATTCTAAGAAAAGACAAGATAAAACACTGCAAATAAGCAATCTGAATGTTTGCTTATAAAAATCATTGTTGAAAGTAAAATAACTTACAGAAGTTAATTTTCGATGATACTAAATGGTTTTTTTTTTTTGCAAAGAGATTCAAACATTTAAGAGGTTCATTAGTGTATGGGGCAGAAATGGTGAACCTTTATAGATGTCAGGTTGTTTTTGGTACTTTTAAATTTTTCATAAAAATAAATAGGCTATTCATATTGTTGTAGTCCCTATTCCCATAAATACAGTAGTAAATACTGTATGTTGGTCTGCAGTTGGAGATTCATTGTGGAATTCACTTGACTCACTTCTAGCAGTTGACTACTTCTACGTGCCGCTGATGAATCTTATATGTGTTGTTCTTTTCCTAAGTATTATCATTCATTACCAACCTTCGTTTGATTATTCTATTCAGCAACCTTCCCTAGGTTACAACACATATACTCACCAATATTTGTTTAATGATAAACTTACTGATGTATCTTAGTTGCTAATGTCTTAATTCAAGGTTCATACTTTGTTATCTTCAGCTTAACACATGCAGTACCCGTATCTATACCAAGGTGATTCCTGACGGTTGATTTTATATAGTTCATGGATGAAAACATCATTTCACATAGGAAGAACTAAAAATCTTGACTGAGTTTATCAGTTGAAAAACTTGAAGTCAAGAAGCACTTCTTTCATAACAGAAAATATTTCAGCTTGTTTTCTTGCTCATCCCTTGAAAATATTTCTAACTAGCAGTAGAGCCCGGCATTGCCCAGGGATGTAACAGTAAGAGATAGATCAAGTATCGACCATCATAAAGACTGAAAAATAAAATTGACAAAGATTATTGTTTAAGGTTGACGGACACACATGTCTTAATTAGTTTTTTTTTTTTTTACGAATTGGTCAAATTCAAACAAAAACATTGTTTTCAATTGTTATGAGTCTATCAATTAAATAGAATTTTATTATAAACAATTGTCTTGTAAATGGAATTCTTAAAGCATTATGAATGTAAAAATAAAGAAAAAAAGTGTGCAAGACAATAAGAAACACTACCTGCCAAAAAAAAGTGAAGTTTTGTTGAAATTGGTTGAAAAATGTAGGAAATCCGATCCCATATATAAACGAACACACACAAACAACTTGGGTTTTATAATAAGTATAACTTGATATGAGTTGTCCCCCTTTCATTCTCTTGATGCCTCTTAATCATGTTTTCAAATTGATTTCGTGCAAAAACAATTGTGTTTTTCCAATTTTTGCCACTGTCAGAACCACCGTTAGGTAATTTTACGCAGTCCTGTGAAGTTTTGTTGAAATCAGTTGAAAAATGTAGGAAATCCGATCCAATATATAAACATACAGACACACACACAATCTGCGTTTTATAAAAAGTAAAATTTTCTTTCAAAAGTTTTAACATGCCCAAACATCAACAGCACAACAATTCCATTACCTTGCAATCGCTTATTCAAGTTATTATTGTAACGAAGTGTGAAGTCTGCAAAATCATTTAACCATTTAATATCAGTCAGCTCTGATAGTCATTTCCTTTTTCACATGAGAAAAGTTTTATTTCTTCTCACCAATTCACAAATTTACCACAACTTAACTATCGGACATTGTTGTACATGAGTAACCCAGAAAATTGACTATTAATTTAATTCAATAGCTCGATGAATTGACGTCTGTTAAATGCATGAGCTGCTATAAAATTAACAATTTTTGTTACAAGGGACATGATATTTTCTAGTAATTTCAACCTCGTTTATGCACAGATATTCGTAATGCAAAATGCAATGAAATTCAATTCAATTATGGTTTACTTCTTGTTTCAGTAATTGCACAAATCCAGCATTTTTTTCCAATCATACTTGGAGATCCATCTGTTGACACAGATACAATATCTCTGAACTTAATGCCAAATTCAATAAATTCTTCCTTCAATTCATCCATAGTATCTTACCCCCTAGTTTTCTCAGAAGAAGCCAATTTGAATAGTTCTTCCTTCATTATATTTCCGGAAAGAAATCTTGCAACAATTGCTAAACGAGCAACTGATGTAATATCTGTACTTTCATCTGAACAAATTGAAAACATATCTTTGTTTTTCAAACCTAGTCCAAGTTGATCAGTTACATCTTTATCTGTAATAATTATTCTCTCTTTGACCATATTTCTAGCAACTGGCAACCCATTAATTCTTTTGAGGACTTCATCTTTATTCTGAATGTCTTCAAATAAAAAAAATCTAAGCAATTCAAAAAGGTCTCTTTTAAATAGCTACCATCAGAGAATGGCTTCCCATACATAGTTGGGGATAACTGAAAACTGGTTTCAGAAATAATGTTCTTGTTTTTTGGTTTAATTATGCTTTTGAAATTATTACATTGTTGTTCCTTTTGCTGTACTTCTGTAGTGATCTCGTGATCACAAGAAATAAAAAAAAAAAAAAACTAATTTCCCATGATTCCCTAGTAAAAAAGGAAAATGCCCTACTGGTGAAAAATGTAGAATCTGGTGTCTTTTCAACAACCTCTCACCATGAGAGCATGTGAAAATGAACCTCTTCAGGAATGAAGACTAAAGATAAGTTTTACTCAAATATTACTTCCTCATATTAAATATGACCTTCCAATAATAGACTTATCACAACAAAATAATTCACTCGTTCAACAAGACAACACAAATATCAGAACATTTAACAACCGCATTACAAGAACTTTTATCTACTGAAACAACCAAACCTTCTGATAATAAATCCTTATATATTTATGTATAAAAATCTTACTTTGTTGTTATGATGTATATCTATATATTTGGGTACCTCGAGGTGGTGTAATGGTTATCAAGCTTGTCTTGCTAGAACAATTACAACTGAGTAGTGAGTTTGATCCTCACTGGGTGTCCCATACATTTGGCCTTGTGCCACATCTAAGTTACGCTTGGAAAATCACTATATCTGTATATTTTACTAACCACAAAAACAAAAGTTGTACAAAGCCAATCATAACACTTCTCTCCAAATTATTTCATTCTTGTCTTCATCTGTCACTAAGCATAAATTCTGATGATTGCTTTCAAAATGGTGCTTAATTTTATATGAGCATGCAACAACTGACATCTGCTATAAACAACAAAAAGCTTTTATATTTTGCTCAATAACACCATATTTTTCACTCCACTCTTTTTGGAAAAAAGTTTCTTATTTCTGCTACATCCTGAACTTATTTTCCTTTTCTTTGTGGTCATGCTTATCGGTTATTAAAATAACTATCACAAATGAATTCAGAATAGTCACAAATTTTAAATTATTCAAGTAGACACTAAAAATAGAGGAGATTATGGTTGATAAAATGCAAATGGAGACAAAACCTTCTTACACAACAGTACAAAACTGACTGAGTATCAGCTAGATGTGTTTAGGTATATGCAAAGATGCATTTAGCTAAGCATAAGACACAAAAAAAAACTTGAAAAATCGTTAAGTTTGATTGGCTGAGCCATATTTCATGATGTCGTTTCACTGACTCCTTGTGGGTAACTAAAAAGTTGATGGTGGGTCAGTTCATGACTCGCGGGTCAGTGGTTCGTCATCTTTGGTATAGGGATTTGATATCCTAACTAGCCAGGAGTCAAAGAACTAAGGGGGGATAATTATGAGAGGTAATGTCATAATTATCCCCCTTAGGCTTTTGACGGAGTTGAAAAACTAAGGGAGATAAATATACACTATTATCAGGTCATCCCATAAGTTCTGTCCGAATTTTAATTTTTTGTTAAAATGAACGAAATTTGAAGAGTATTTTATAATGTCTAATGGAGCTGAACATTATTTTTATGTTTAGATGCATTTAAACTGATCAAATTTTATTTCAGAGAACAATAAAATTAAATTTTGTTTGATTAAAACCCTGCTAACATGGAAGTACCCAAGAATCATTTGAGGCACATAATGCTTTATGAGTTCAAGAAAGGAAACTCAGCAGCCGAAGCGGCTAGAAACATTCACTCAGTTTATTGAGAGGAATGTGTGAATGAAAGAACTTGCAGAAGATGGTTTGCAAAATTCAGAGGTGGAGATTTCACCCTTGAAGATGAAGATCGAACCGGACGTCCAGTTGAGTTTGATGAAAAGCTTCTTGAAGCAGCCCTTAAAGAAAATCCCGCTTTATCAGTTGAGGAATTGGCAGTGGTTCTCAGTTCAAACCACACAACTGTTCATCGTCATCTTCAACAACTTGGAAAAGTTCCTAAACTTGGAAAATGGGTGCCTCATGAATTGTCTGAAAACAACCTCAAATCCCGAGTTGACATCTGCTCTTCTCTCCATTCTCGCCAACTTGTTTCACCTTTTTTGGATGGACTTGTGACTGGCAACGAAAAATGGATCTTTTATCGAAATGTTAAGCATCATAGACAGTGGCTTGGTAAAGGGGAAGGACCCCAGCCACAGCCAAAAAGGGAACTTCATGTCAAAAGGCTCTTCTCTCAATCTGGTGGGACCGCCAAGGAATAATCCACTTTGAATTCTTACCACCTAATGCAACAATTAATGCTCAAATATACTGTCAGCAATTAGAGTGTTTGAACCAAGCTTTGAGGAAAAAAAGACCTGCTCTAGTGAATCGAAAAGGGGTGATGTTTCATCAGGACAATGCGCGACCCCACACAGCAAGAATCACGTCACAAAAGATCGAAGAACTTGGTTAGGAGAAAATTCCTCATCCACCTTATTCTCCCAATCTTGCTCTTTTAGACTACCATTTGTTTCGTAGCTTACAGAATCATTTGGAAGAAACAGCTTTTGTAACACAGGAAGAGGTTAAAACTGACATTTGTGAGTTCTTTAAATCAAAGCCAAAAGAATTTTACAGTAATGGAATTAGTAAGCTTGTTAATAGATGGAAGGAAGTCATAGATAATCAGGGGAAAATACATTGTTGATTTAATCTGTAATTAATTGTAACATTTGGTCACTTGTTTTCTTTATTCAAAATTCGGACAGAACTTATGGGATGACCTGATATAATATATATTATATATATTATAAATATACACATTATTTGAACTATTGTCCTCATTTTTTTCGCCATATTTATTACAATGTTTCGGCCGTTGTACACTCCAGCCTTCTTCAGGTGGTTGGAATGTCGAACTGAACCCTTTATTTTGCTCACTGGGGTAGACAATAGTCTGAAAATGTAAATAGTGTACATGATACCTCATCTCAGAGATATAGACAGAGATAAATATAACATGAACAAACAAGTGAAGGCAGAGGTAATTTAAGACATTGACAGCCAGTAATGAGATAACGCATGGCTAGCAGATATCTCGGTGTTATGATTTTCCATCAAGCCTACAACCACGAGTTTTTCCCTTGTTTTTAATGCAAATAACGTCTAAGTCAGAAATAAAAAATTGGCAAACATGGACTTATGTGCCCACAATATGATGTCTACACAACTTCATATGTAGCACTGAGTAAGGTTTGTCCACTTGAGGAAAAAGAAATGGATTCATGCCTTTCTCAAGAGCATTAGTTTAAAACAGTGTTGGATGAAATCTGAACTCAAATGGCTCATTCAAATTTCAACAACCACTTCCTGCTTATAGTACCCAACACTGGCCAACATCAACCAGAGTCCTGGGAAACCGTTGCTGCAAATTGGCCTTCCTGGCATAGAAGCATCTGAGGGGGAACTAAGATTTTCGAGTCAATATGGATATGTGGTATGCTGTCAGGAGAGCCTGACTCACCCAACTGCATTCACCACCTACACTCTTTTGTGACTCCTGTTCACAACTCTTCAGGAGTAGGCTGAGACTTCACAGACATCTCCATCACTGCCACCAGAGGGGAGAAAGGGAATAAGGGGAGAGGACGATGCTTGGATGCAAGCTAATAATTATATAATAGCATTAACTGGCTGGGAAATTTTATTAAATCTTTATAAAAAAAAAAAAAAAAAAAAAAAAAAAAAACACCAACAAACTTTATGTTTAAAAACTGGTTGGATTATAAAGTTTAACTTTATGTCTAAGTGCAGAATTTAAATTGTCAGATTTTTTACACAAAACAGAATCCACAGTTACCAAAAATCTGCTCTGAATTGTAAAATAAAAAATGCAATAAAACTATGACATTATTTAATTAGAAAAGTTTTTAAATCTTTAAAAATTATTTATTAATTTTTAAGGGTTAAGTGATATTGTTATTAATTAAAAACTATATTTACTAATCATAAATCAAAAAGCTTATTACAATTTTGTGACTCCCAGTATTTTATATAGAATTTTGAACTTTTTTTGTATGTGTATAAACATACCAATTTTTATAGATATGATTCATCATACGTGACATTATCAGAAGAGTGATAACAGTAGTAAATTTAAAGCCAAAATATCTAAAATTAAATAAAACATTACATTATGAAAAATATTTTCCAAAATTTTTAATAGTTAAAAATTATATAAAAAGGGTGCTCACATTACATATCTCAATTATTTTTCAGAGATATATCTACCATAGAAAAACATTAAACTTCTATTTGTCATTCAAGTTGTCAACATGTCAAAACCTAAAATAAACAGCTATTGCCATGTTAAAAATAATGCATTTCTACAATATTTTAATATTTGTTTTAAATCAGATTAATTAAACTTCAAATGAACTAATATTCCTCAAATAAAGTTTCAGAAAAGCATTGTTTTATTTTTGGAAGATTTTTCAGTAAAAATGATGAAAGAAGGCTAAAAAAAAAAAAAAAACAGCTATTTCAGTAATTTCAAAAGAAAAACTCCTTCCAGTCAATTTAAATTAGTTTGGAAATACAGCAATGTATTTTGATTATTGGAAATATTAAATTTAATCTATCAGCTTGGAATTAAAACAAAAATAAAAGTTTCATGAAAGATGTTTTCATTCTTAAAATTTCATTTTAAACTTTAAGCATCATGTTTTCTGTGGTGATGCCATATAACACTTATGGAATGACTTATGAACATGTTAATATTATTTTTTTTTAAAAATGGTGGAGGGATTCAGATTAAGAAGTTTATGGGTAATAAATTGATAGTCCAAACACTTCAGTTCTAATAAAATATCTCCTAAGATTACATGAAAGAATATGCAAAAAATGATCCAATGGCTTCTGACAATACAGAGTTTTACTCACAGAAAATGTCATTCATTTATTAGACAAGTATTGATTATAGATTACTGTAACTTACTTACCTCGGATGTGGATTTCTGTAATCCACTCTGGTTTTTCTTTATTTTCCATCTCAACTTGAATCCTTGGCTTGAAATACTCATAGCTGCTATTCAAGATGTAGGTTTTAGGGAGTGGCTCCTTATTTTCTTAAAAAAAATAAAATAAAATAATAAGAAGGTATAAGACTGAAACAAAACAGGAGAGAAAAATTAGGTTTTGCAATAAAACAAATGTACTATAATAATATAGTACTATAATTGCAATGGGTCCATAAGCAAGGGAGATTACAAAAAGAATAACTGTATGTGTCCATGAGTGAGCATGGAAGGGACCATATGTGGAAAAAGAGGTAATTTCAAGTGCCCATATATAACAAAGACACAAGTGCCAACGTTCAGACTAGAGGTATTATTGTAAGATCCATGTATGGGAGATGTTTATGCAAAGGTTCATATTTGAGAAAGAGGTGTAATTTCAAGTGTCTATGTATAGGCAAAAGGTATAGCTACAAAAATCCATATGCAGGCAGGAGGTTTTATTGCAAACTAGCAGTAGAGCCCAGCGTTGCCCGGGGATGTTAAGAGATAGATCAAGTATCGACCATCATAAAGACTGAAAAATAAAATTGACAAAGATTATTGTTTAAGGTTGACGGACACGCATGTCTTAATTAGTCTTTTTTTTTTTTTTTTTACGAATTGGTCAAACCCAAATTCAAACAAAAACATTGTTTACAATCGTTATGAGTCTATCGATTGGTGAATAGAATTTTATTATAAACAATTGTCTTGTAAATGGAATTTTTAAAGCATTCTGAATGTAAATAAAGAAAAAAAAGTGTGCAAGACAATAAAAATACTACCTGCCAAAAAAAAATGGATGTTTGTTTTATTGGCTGAAAATTGTAAGAAATCCGATCCCATACACACACACACACACACACACAAACCTGGGTCTTTTAACCTAAGTCACTCCACGGAATCACTAAAACATAGAGCATAGTCTGATGAAAAAGACGCCAAAGTTTATGAAAACAAAATTTTATCGTCAAAATGCTTATTTTTTTATGAAGAGGATAGACTAAATTTTTTTTTAATTATTTTTAAAAAATTTTTCCATCTTTTTAGAATATTCTAAATTTTGATTTAAAAAACCTTGTTTCTCTTTATGCATAACAAGGGGTAGTAAATAACATAGATCATTTTTAGCGCATTTTTTTTGTATTTACACACATTAATTTGGAAAATCTTGCAAAAATAAAAATAATTGTCAGATGTTAATGAAACTTTCAGAAACTATTCACAGATGATTGAAATTATTATAAATATATTTTTTTTATTAAAGTCATGGCAGAAATATTTTTTTTTTATATTTATTAACACCCCCCCCCATAACTAATTTTATGAAAAACTTTAGAAATTCGGTTTTAGTGATTACAATAGTTAAAAGCACAAGGCTTTGAAGAATGCAAATCATGTTTTTTTTTTGTTTTTTGGCCAACGTACCTGAAAATCAGCTGTGAATTGTAACATACAAAACTCAATAAAACAAATATATTATTTAGTTTCAAATGCTTTTATTTGTTTTAATTTGTTTTTATGAATATGGACAATATTTTCTGAAAGCGAAAAATTTTTTCAATGAAAATTGAATTTTAATACAATTATTTCTTATTTCTTTAATTTTAAAAAAGATTTTTAAAAAATGTTTAAATTGAATTTAAAAAAAATTTTAACATTAGTTAAAAAAGCAACATCAACCTTTCAAAATGTCCGTGTGAGATTGTCATTGTCTAGCGCTTTGAAAATTGTATAATTCGGACCAATCAGATTAGCCATGGTAATTAAGAAATGTAATTTTTGTGTTTATAGTCGGACAGTAATTATCAAGTACGGAAGACCAACCAGAATACAATTTAGTTGCATTATTTGAGTTCAGCATTGTTCTCCGCTGTTAAGCCCTTTACTTTTTGCAAAACATGTGGAGAAGTTAATTTGAGTTTTCAATTTCAACTGAGAAGGGTATCTACAAGTAACAGTATCATCTTATGAAATTTAACTACTGCTAAACTTTAATTTATATGATCTTATTTTTATATTAATCTCAGTTATGACATTTTTCCATAAATATCAAAATTAATAATAAAATGAATGGAAATACAAATAACACAGTAAAATGTAATAAATGTACATAAAATTATAGTATTTTATGTACACTTCTGATAAAATTTCATAAGAAAGGTACCTAAATTAATTAGATACCTTTTTCTTATGAAATTTAATCTCACTATTAACAGTCTTATTTTTTAATTTCTTTATATTTTCCATAAAGCATCGTAAACGTAAAAATGAAAGCTAAGTACAAAAAAAAAAATAAATAAAAAATTAGAGCGCTGAAAGTTTTCCTTAAAAGTAACAAAGTAAATAATTTGTTCACTTAAATAATTTCACTTCCTTCCATCCGTAGAAAAGAATTCTCCTCCGTAAGTTATCTAAACGTCATGAATGTGCCTTTCGTCAATCGTCAAGCGACGCGAAAGGTTATGACCTGCTTTGTTTTTATTTTCAAATTACATTTTTTCGGCGCAGAAGCTAAGTTAAGCTTGGTTCAAAATATTTTAAATAAACAGTATAATATCTGTTTTTATTAAAATCAGTTTTGAAAAAATGATAATTGACTTTTAAAAGAATATCAAAGTAAGATTTTAATCTCTTTTATCAAATCGAAAAAAATGATTATCTGCCCTTTTTTTTGACCAAAAAAAAAAAAAAACAATATTTTTAACGAAAATTTCAGACGTGCTAGGAACGATTAAAAAACGTAAAAAATACCCCAAAATACTTTGATCTTTCCTCTTTAATAATAATATGAACATTAGACGATAAAATTTTGTTTTCGCCAAGTTCGCCGCCTTTTCATCATGCTATGCTCTTTTGTTTACATTTTCGTGGGTGAGTTCTCCCCTTTCATTCTCACAATGTGTCTTAATCGTGTTTTCAAATTGATTTTATTAAAAACAACTGTATTTTTCCCATTTTCGGCCCCATTAGAACCACCACAAGGTAATTTTATGTAGTCCTGTGAAGTTTTGTTGAAATCGGCTAAAAAATGTAGGAAATTCGATCCAACATATAAACGTTACAGACACACACACACACAACCTGCGTTTTATAATAAGTAAGATAAGATAGGATGTCCATATGTGGAAAAGAGTGGTAATTTCAAGTGTCCAGGCATAGCTGAGATTCATAACTACAAGTGCCCTGTATATATATATATATATATATATATATATATATATATATATGAGTATATTTTGGCAGCATATTTCCATTGAGACATGAAAAATTTTAAATGTTTTCAGTAGATAGCTTAAAATATCGAGGTTTGTACTAATAGTTTTAATACTTATTTCTTAGAAATTCTTGACAACACCATACTGAGTTATCTCCCCTAAAGCGTTAGTCAAGCCAATCAAAGTACTTACGTTCTTCACAAGTAAATAAATTTTAACTTTCAGATGAACACAGCAATTTTGTCTTTAAAATGATGAACACTACAATATGTTTCTTGAAATAAACACCCTGATGATGACATCGGGCTATGTCAAAAGTACTTGGAATAAAATAATATATATCAACATGGCGATTTTCTCTCTTCTTTTAATAATGATACCAAAAAGTTTGTCTGTGAATATAAAAGGATCCAATTGAAAATAAGTAGACAAAACTTGTTTAAATTATTCATTGAAACATGTCTCAAAATATATTATGCATTTAGGCAGCAATCCTTCTTTTATACAAGTTTCATTAAAGACGACTGACACGGTACTTCAATTAAGCTTTTTATTTAATTTTTCTTGTGTTTGTACAAATGCTTTCTTTTCTGGATACAAAGTGTGTAAAAACTGTTTAAATTTTCTGCATTTCTGAGCACTTTTGCCTATACTTTTAGCCATTATCAAGGATGCTATTATTTTTTATATTTAACTGTATGCATGGGTTGTGTGTATGTATCTAGAGATATAGGGATGTTTTATTTTTCAAACACAGCACATTGTGGCTGTGTTCATAGTTAATGCTATTGAGTGTTGACTTTTTCTTTTTTATTATTAAGGCTTCCATTATTTTCAATCTCATTTCACATGTGCTTGTATTTTCTATTAGTATGTTTAGGATGGAGTCTGGTAGATTTGTGTGTGTGTGTTTAAAAGAGTGCTAATGGAGCTATGGTTGGATTGGGGTAATGTATTATTGTGACCAATGTAATTATTTATGATTTTGGTTTGATCAAGAACACAGTTCTTTAAAAGCATTTGAACTCGTAAATAATGTTGATTCTTTGAAGTTTTCATTTCACAGGTGTATTGTTATTTTTGGAGATAAGGTTAGATCTTTTATTTTTTTTTATTTGGATCAACTAGGGTAGTGTATTTCTTTATGATATTTCTAAGTGAAGATTCATTTTGCTTATAGTTGATGTGCATTTGGCTTTTGGAGTAGATACGCATGTTATTGTTTTTGTCTGTGTTTGTCAGTGTCATTATTATTTACTTTGGAAAGAAATAGTCTAATCTGGTGATCGATGAGGTGGTTAGGAAAACACTAATGTCTGTTTTGCATTGTTGAGTTCTTTGAAGAAAAGTAGACAAGAGGATGAAATATATGCTTTCTTTAGGAAATTTTTTATCACTACTATTTTGTATGTAAGTGGGCATTCACTCTTGAAATTAAGGTGGCAAGAGTTTCTGTGAGTGTTTTTTTTATACAATGAGGTGGTTAAAATGTTACTGTATTCTATGAGAATTCCTCCACACCCTGTAACCCCTTGCATGATAGTGGCTGTACTGCCTTGGGATGATACAAAAAAAAAAAAAAAAAAAAAAAAAAAAAAATGGCCCCTTGTAGTAACATCTCTTATTCTATGTTCAGAAATATACTTTTCAAAAATAATTTTTATGCAAAAAGATATTTTTTTAATAAAGAACAAATATAGATATACATTTTTAATTAAAGAATTTTGCATAAATAAAAGTATATATCCGTTTATTTTTCATTTAAGATAAATAATTAATATCCCCTAATGTTTGTGCATGTTCTGAAAAAATCCCTCTCAGCGAAAAAAAAAGTTTTTAAAGTTAAAAAATAATTCAGATAGTAAAAAAAAAAAAAATAGTATACAGTTAACAATGATGCAAGTATAGTTTCTAAATTGACATTTGTAAATAACATTGAAGTCCACTAACTGTATAAAGTCAGGGATCGATTTTACAGTGTATCGTTATCATGAAAAGAACCCTCATTTTTAAATTGATAAAAAAAAAGTCAATATTCTTCAATTCTGACAGGTGTTCTTGAAGAAGTTTTAATGAATGCTAATCTACAAAAATTATATCCCCTGCCTGAAAAATGTTCCTTTATTTTATTTTAAATCTTTTCTGTTAATTCACCCCAAAATAAAAAGAATTTATATTTGACAAAATACACACGAAATTCTCTGAGGGTGAAGCCCTTCTATTGCATTTCAGTTGGGTTTAGCCTTTGTGGTCGCCCCAAATGTGGGCGATTCGGATGCGGGGTCAACGTTCGCGCTCATCCTGATAAACAAGCCAAAAAACGGATTTTTTCTTCTTTTTTTTTTAGATTGTAAAAAAAAAGTCCTTGTAAATACCTCGAATATCATCCGCACTTACGAAATGAGAATAACTTCCTGATTTTTGGTAATTTTTCATTCTGAGAGTTGGAAGTGTCGCGAGACCAGCTCTAAATAAATTTTGATTTAAAATTTATAATTTCAAAAGAGTGCCAAAAATTTAATAAAAAACAAACTTTGATTTAAGATTTATAATTTCTCTGGGTGAATTAACAGAAAAGATCCCTTTTTTTCTACGGGTGGACCATTAGTTCGGTTGTCTTACAGAATATTAAAGAAACTTGTAATTAATTTCAAAATAAAATGCATCAGTTTTTTTCAACGTCTTATAATCAGTCATTACTGCTGACTCAGAAGATGGCTTCTTTGATATGATATCCAAAATTTTTAAGTATTCATTCCGCTCAGTCTACTTACCATCGCTATGTTCCGTTTCGACTTCGACGGGACCCTTGTTTTTCGTTTTCTCATTCTTCGTCTCCACAGGAGTCGTAACTGTCTGTAAAGGAATCTTCATCCGTTGGACAATGCAAGGGACGTAACTCATATCGTTCCTTCGGCACAATTCCTCATAGTCGGCAATAAAATTGCCCGTACATACATAAGGCTCTTGAGGCAATAGATGAAAAAAATAAAAGAAAAAAAGGAATTTGTTTCGTGTTAATTTTTCTTTCTCTTTTTTAGGAAAAGAAAAAAAAAAGATTCATTCGTTAGTATAATCTAATCATCATTATTATTTACGTTTGTTAAAAGTACTTTGTAAATTACTTTTTTTAACAAATACATTCATTTCTTCTATTGCAATTTTACAGTTTATTGAAGAACATTGAAGATTTAATCTTCAACACATTGCAATGAATCAAGTGGAAAAATATTCAATGACTGATTAACTGATTTGCAGGGCTGGATTTAGATAAAGGGAGACCCCAAGGCTATTCCACCTTTGAGGCCTCTCCAAATCCTGTATTCTCACAAGTAGAGGAAATGATTTGAGTACAGCCAAGAATGATGACAGATGTTTAAAATTACTGAAGGGTTGACTAGAGTCTACAATGTGTTATGAAAGCATGTGTAAGAATGGCCTATGACAGTGTCAAAAATATTATACACCTTGGCTGGAGACACCTTAGATTTTGAGGCCCTAGACTTCAGCCTGCGAAGTCTATAGGTAAATCCAGCACTGCTAATTTGTTTCTTATGGCTTATCAACCTTTTGCAGGTTATTTAAAGCTAGCAAATATTTTTTAGATTGTAGGGATTTTTCTGGAGATAATAATGATTTACTGATATAAGTCCTACTAATTAACCCATAGATGGGGGGTGGAGGATTTATACCTTTCCCAAGATATGAATTCCCTTGTGTGTAAGTGAACATAGTGAATCCAATTCAAATTGGAATCCGGCATCTGATTTTTAATTCCAAGACTCACAACCTAATGACTTGATTTTTTTCATGAGTTTACTTGACCCAGTGTAAAATTTCATTGTTATTTTGAAGAATGACATACTTTCTGTTGACCAAAATTGGATATTTTGTGTCAATTTTGACTCTTCACACATTCTTGATAATATATAAGGTTTGGAAAATAACGTTTTTGTTCTTGACGTTCATTACACTGTAAATTTGGGCAAGCAAAGCACTCTCACTCATTCAGATTTTCTCGATTTGTGCTTTGGAGGCAAATCTTTGCATGATTGTGAAGCTCTTTGTAGCTGAGCTGTTAAAGCATGCCAGATCAGACAGTGGTTTCTTCTGAAAAGGGAGACACAGGTTCGAGTCCTGCTGGAGGGCACATATTCTTTAATAAGTTTTCTCAAGTATGCAGGCTGGTAGACAAAATAAATACAGTGTAACCCGGATATAAGAGAGTTGTCGGGACCGGAGAAGAAGTATCTTATATCCGGGTTTCTCTTATATCCGGGTTTGGTCTATTTTGCTTAGGTAAGTATGGGAACACTTTGGGACCAGAGAAAATCTCTCTTATATCCGGGTTTCTCTTATATCCGGGTCTCTTATATCCGGGTTACACTGTAGTTTAAAATAAAATGGGTACTAAATATGAGGGCAAGTCAAAAGTTATCTGCACTTTTGCCATAACATATCTTTAGGTCTGTCACACTGCATTCTGCTCATGCATGCTTAAAGTTGATATTATTGTGGTCATGTGATCAAGGTTTGAACTTGATTATGCCAATTTTTTTTGCTGCTTTTACAGTGTAAACATGGCCGCTCTGCTAGCAGTGTGCACCAAAGTACAACAAAGAACAGTGATTCATATCTGCAGAGAACATGCTATCTCATTGATGATAACTCTCCAGTTCATCATTACCATCTCTCAAGCGTGATGAATCTTCTCATCAGTGGTGGAGGTTAAAGAGTGTCCTGCTCCTACTTTGGGCATCCCGCTTGTCTAGCCACTTTTAAACTTTTCAATCTACTCATACACACTTCTATATGGTAGCGCACTGTCAGCATATTGTGTTAAAAGCCTCCAATGAATTTTAGTCCCTGACACACCTCCCGACAAGTGAAATTGGGTTACTGTTCTTTCTTGATGTACACTGCTAACAGTGCGGTCATGTTTACACTGTAACAGCAGCAAGGAAACTGGTGCAATCAAGCTCAAACTTCAATCATGTGGGCATAATATTAATTATAAACATGCATGAGTGAAAGGCAGTGTGACAAACATAAATATATATTATGGTGAAAATGCGGATAATTTTTTACTTACCCGTATAGTAGCAATTCATCTCATTCATTTGAGAAGATGTTAAAAATGTTTTGTGTTCTGTGGAAATGGTTCTAGTGCTTTGTTCTATTATTTTTTTGTTTTTTTTAGCTTAAAAATTAGTTTTCAAGTCTATAATCAGCTTCTAGTTAAAAAAAAAAAAAAAAACTATTGAGAACTTTTACACATACTTTAAAATTCATCTTGTCATAGATTCTCAAAATTTTCATATCTGCTCACTTTTGTATCCAAACGTAAACAAAATAATTTCTAAAAAAACAGTCGATTTTTTTATTTATTAATCTGACAGATTTTACTACTGTAAATACTATTTTTAGTGGATACTCATATCTGAGTAGATACTCCATTTATTTACTAAATGGTATATTTATTTATTTTCATCTACCATATAATATAGTTTCAGAATATATATGTTTATGCCAGAATATTTGAGAAATCTTATTAAAGAAAATTTGTGCTCTTTAGCAGGATTCAAACCTGTGTCCCACTTGGCAGGGAAAACTGTTGTTAGATCTGACGTGTTTATACTGACTCAGCCACGAAAGAGATTTGTCAATCAAGTAAGGCTGAACATTGTCCTTAAGCGAAATCCTTCTCATCAGAGATTCTCAAAATTTCATATTTGCTCAGTTTTGTATGCAAACATAAACAAAGTAATTTTCTAAAGAAGTAATGGATTTTTTATTTATTAATCTGACAGTTTTTATCACTTTAGAAGTTATTTTTAGTGGATACCCATTTTTAAGTAGATACTCTATTTAATTATTAAACAGTATATTTATTTATTTTCTTAAAACAATTTTTTTTCTTATTAAAGCAAAAACTTGTTTCCTTAGTAAAGGAAAATTATTTTCTTATTAAAGTAAAATTTATTTTATTATTAAAGAAATAAAATGTAAGAATTGGTAATTCACTTCCACTGGAGTCTAATACAGTGGAACCTTGGTTCACAAATTTAATTTGTTCCTGAAGCCCGTTCATAACACAAAATGTTCATAAACCGAAACTATTTTTCCAATAGGAATCAATGTAAAATGGATTAATCCATTCCTGGTCACAAGATGAATGCTTATTTAAACTTTAACAACAGTACTTTGTGCACAAGTTTATGCACAAAACTAATGAAAAACATTAAATCTAAGAAAAAAAATAAATAAACCCAATACTAAACAGATAAAATATAGACGAAAATATTAATTTTATCGTACCTACAAGTAGGAGAGCTGATAGTTTCAGAGAGAACTCCATGAATATAAACTTGAACCAGATTTAATACAATTATAATATCTTCAGGTGATAGGGATACAAAGGCGATTATCTTCTTTTGGGTGAGATGAAGTATTGTGGGTCACATGACAGCCGCTTGATGATGTCACTGCATAGTAAGGAAATTGGCAGTCAGTCAGATTCCAGGAGTCAAACCAAGCTGTTGCTTTTTTTTAACCCGGGTCTGGGTTGAAACTAAATCTGCCTCCCCCAGGCACATGGTGCAGCTTACAAGCCTATGGTGCTGTTTTCCCATCGAAATCTATCTTCACCAGGCATAGAAAATATTGTTGAAATTGCTAGATGTAACTGTAAGTTCTATTTTAATAGTTTCCTCTCACACACTCCTCACCTGTGAGACTCTCTTTCAACTTCTTAATTATTCAAAAATACACTCTTAAGTAGGTGCCAGAGGGGGTTGTCAGTGATGTAATTTGACTTTGTTCATCAGGGAGTTTCAGGTCTTTCGACATCATACACCCCATCACCAAGTCAACCCAATCAGGGGAGATCAATCCCTAATCACCCCCCCTCATAATCAAACGCTAACAGCTATTCTGACCTTTTTAATGACTTAGATGAAGAAAGACCACATTTTCCACACACCAAATTGGATGTTTGTAACAACCAATCCGCTGCATGAACTATCTTTTAAATGGTCAACGGTGGGGACTGGCTTCTTTTCTTTCTTTTTCAATGGATAGCACTGTGAGACTCTATTTCAGCTTCTAATTTTCTTGTCAACTACGATCTTCAAAAATTTAAATACAACATCAATTGCCATTTATTTCCTTGAATCCTGTTCCTTTTATTGTCCTCTCTCCTCAATAATGTTTTATCTGTTTCTTTCACTCACAGCAACTGTTTGTGTCTTAGTGGCTTTATCGCCTTGCTCAGGGGGAAATGATTGAAAAAAAAAAAAGTAAATAAAAGTATAATGATCCAACATTTAAAAATAGTTCTTACCTAATGGTTTCTCTTCCTGCTCTTCAATTTCAAAATTTTGGATAAAGGGACTCTTTTCTTTACTTTTCTCAGTTTTTTTGTCCTTGGCATCTTTCTTATCTTTCTTGCCTTGTTTCTTATCTTTAGCCTTCTCCATCATGGGAACTCAATATCAAAAACGGTCGCTTGGAACAAGAATGAAATCAGATCTCAACATCTGAATCATAAAAACATATTTTAAAAAATTCAAGTGAGGTTATTTGGTAGTAGTCAGCTAAAGTTTAATAAGTAAAATAAAAGTATTTCTTAAATACCCTGAAAAGTATCACTTATTTATCATCTCCCTAACACCTCAATAACATCAACACCGGCATTCTTAAGGACAGGTCAATCAGCCAACATCATTTTTGAAACTCAGACAAACAAAACAAAATATCAAAGACCTTGTACCAAAGCAAAGAACAATCCTACATGCACTCACTGCATTTGTGCAACCACTTACCAATCAGAAAGCAGGACAGGCTGGTCCACTCCTTTAACCACCAAAGAATGAATCAAGAAAACTGCCTGCTACAAAGAAGGAGTCTGTCTCTCACTTTGTCTCTTTGTTCTACCGTACCACAAGCTACAAACTGTCACACAAGAAGGATAGAATTTATATTCATAAAAAAAAGAAAATGACTTCCACCGTTCACTCAGAGTTCATTCATTTTGGATGTAAAAAACCAACATTATGTGCCAACCTCCACAATTTCAGTTTTTTTTTAATCAAGCAAGACAATAAATTTGCTAAAACACAAGGGGTTACTGAGTATAACATAAAAAAAACACTATTAAAAGAACAGAAATTAAGAAGACAAAAGATAATGACTGACATTGCATTTAAATTTTTGAAAATCAAACTTGACGAGAAAGCAAGATGTCAGAAGAGAGTTTGACAAGTGAGAAGTATAAGAGAAGAAATTATTAGCATAGAACTTATGGTTACATCTAGCCACTTCAACTGATAAATAATGAGACCTAGCAGACAATCTAGTACTGCACTTAAATTCATAAAGTCAAGGTACCTTTACCATGAAAATATTTATAGAAAAGGTAAAGGGAAGTTATGCTATGGTGGTAGGAAATAAGGAACAAGTAGGAAAACGTTTATAAATTTGACATGTTTCCATATTCAGCTTCATCGGAAATTTAGGGGAATGGGGCTGCACAGAGATGTTTCTCGAATTGTCAAGTAGATGCAACTTGTTCATTTTTTTGTACTGTTAGTATACATATATATATGCTCCTGAAAATTATTTTGGTTTAGCTCTCTGGAGAAGAACTGTGAGTTTGTAAACAGTGACTATTATTGCTACTAATGCAATACTCTTCGATAAAACAAATCAAGTTCTCTCAGTCACTTGCCTGTTTATCTAAAAATAAATAGGCTTCAATTTACCTTTCATCCCTGCCATGCGCCAATGACTTAGGGGTAGAGTCTCTAATTGACACCAATTCAGCCAGGTTTAGATCCTAGCTAGATGCAACCGGATGTCTAGCCACACTGATGAGCTGTGATACAGCGAAACAGTCTGTCTGTGGATGACAATATATATATGTGTGTGTGTGTGTGTTTTCTTAATTCTAGTGAGCATTCTATGTTTATCTTGTAGTGTGTCTGTGCATGTGTGTCTAATTCTTGAAATCATAGGATAATAAAATGGGTACATTGGTGTATTTATTGATTGGATGAGAAATGAGACTGATTGGTTTGTTTTTTATGTCTTATCAACCCTTTGTTGATTATTTAAAGCTGAAACATATTTTGGATTGTAAGAATAATTTTTTTTCTGAGTGAATATTACATTAAGAATTTTTTGCAAATAACAATGATCCTACTATTCAATCCATAGCTGGAGGGAAAAGATGGATTCATATCTTTCCCAAGGGTATTTGAGCACAAATGAATGTCACCAAATTACCTGCACCTTGCTGTGTGTCTCACATTTTTTTATAAAAAAAATGATGATTGATTTTAAATCATTGTTATAATTTGTGGAGAAAAATGATGTATTTCAATATTACCCAATGATCTTGCTGATGTGATCTCCATCTTCTGGCTTTCTCCTTCTATATTTTGGATAGGAGTCATTCCTTTGTTTAAATTTAAATTTAGTTTAAATCAAAGGTAAAAAAGTTTTCAATGGGGAGAGGCCCTTGGGGACCCCCTTTTTTATCAAAATGAAATATACTTATCCAAGTACCCTAGGAGTCATTCCCTTGTTCAAATTTAAATTTCATTTAAATCAAAGGGAAAAATATTTTCAGTGGGGGGTTTGTGCAAAAACAGCTTGATCTGACAACCCCTTTGATATGTATACTTGATTGAATGAATTGATGAGCAGATTTCAACATTGATATGACAGTTAAATTGTTGCAACAAATATGTATTGTAAGGTACTACCCACTGGTTGGTAATTTCTTGCTCAACTTGACATCCATATTCTTTCATTTTGATCTTGCCAATGTGACCTCCATCTTCTGGCTTTCTCCTTCTATATTTTAGATAGGAGTATATTCCCTTGTTCAAATTTAAACTTCATTTAAATCAAAGGGAAAAATATTTTCAGTGGGGGGGAGGTTGTGCCCTCTGGGTATCTTCTTTGACCAAAATGATCTTGTCGATGTCACCACCATCTTCTGACTTTCTCCTTCTATATTTTGGATAGGAGTCATTCCCTTCTACAAATTTAAATTTAGTTTAAATCAAACGGGAAAAAATTTCGGTGGTGGTGGTGGTGGTGGTGGTGGTGGGGGAGATTGTGCCCACCGAGGACTCGATTGAGACTCTGCCCTTCGGCGTAGCCTCGTTCGGGTTCCTCCCCGCCCGAAGGCAGAGAGTTCAACCGATCAGCTGATCAGCCGGTCACCTGACTTCAGACTGAACAAATTTTATAACAAACACAAATATACCAGTGTGCTGGCCATTACTGATGCAACTCTCACTTGCCACAAATGTCTACAACGACATTTGTGTATTTCCCTTATATAAGAGAAGCCAAACTGAGCAGAGAGAGACTTGTCAAACTCTTTGCCTTTAGGCGGAGAGGAACTCAGACAAGGCTATGCCTACAAGCAGTCTCATCTGGAGAGATAGGAGGCCACCTGATCCTGTGTATGCGGGGTCAAAGGGGAATTTTTGCCCAATTGTACACACTCAGAAAGTCACAACGTTAAACTGGCCTAGTGCTACATCCTGCTCTGTGGGGAGCTTGGATAAATACCAAGAGAGAGAGAGAAAGAGTGCACACACACACACACACATGCTAACCATAGAGGCTACCCAAGAGCATAACTGACTGCCTGTGCAACCATTATGCTGTGAAAAGACCTCTTGTGAACACAGAAAGAGAATGCACTCCACTATCAATGCGACAAGCCCAAACTGATAGCCAACAAACAGTCAGCCAGATTAAGCATGCTCCTTTTTCATGCTCTTATTTCACATCTCATACATCATACATTTGAAATCTACCCTACATAACTTACCAGAGACATTTTCATCTTGTAAATGAAAATAAATCTTTGGTCATTTCTTAAAACCAGTGTCTAACTTGTTTCTTTACTCTCACCAATGGATAAAACATTATTTTTATAATAAAAATTATTTTTTATTATATACTGATAGCAACTTAAATATGTGTACACACTAAAATATAGAGAGATAGATATACAATGTTCCTTTTTTTTTACTCACAGTATTCATATTACACAAAAAACTTTCAACTATTTCACAAAGAACATTTCTTCTAAAAACAAACTCTTTTTCATTATGAGACCAGATAAAAAAATTCTTTTTTCTTTCAAAGAAAAGTTTTCAATTAAATTCATAGTTAAGGGTAAACAACTCTTATTTGTTGCATTGTAAATTTTGTACCAAAAACACTGTTTTAAAGGAACATTTAAAGCATTTGAATTTGCTCAATTACAATATTGACCTTTGAAATTCAGCATAACTCAGCTATATATTCTGAGCAGTTAATTCTTGATAATTTGTATGATTCCTATATAAATATTGTATTGTTGTTTTACATCATTGTTGTCATCTTTTGTATTGCCTTATTAGCCTTGTGCCATACATCTAAAGTTAAAAATGCTTGTGGAGAAGTGAAATTTTATACACGCAACTGACCTCATATGACTCAAACAAAAGGCTTCTGATTAATTTTCAAATTTATTTAACCTTCACCACCGCAACAAGATAGATAGATAGATAGATAGATAGATAGATAGATAGATAGATAGATAGATAGATAATGGACAGACTGAGATAGATAGATAGATAGATAGATAGATAGATAGATAGATAGATAGATAGATAGATAGATAATGGACAGACTGAGATAGATAGATAGATAGATAGATAGATAATATAGATAGATAGATGAATAGATAATGGACAGACTGAGATAGATAGATAATAAATAATAGTTAATAGATATTAATCTGTTGCGATAGAATAGATAGATAATGAACAGACTGGGATAGATAGAAATAAAGACAGATAATGAAGAGACAGGGATAGGCAGCTAATTAATTAATTATTAATCTGTTGCGCTCGAATCTCGTAAACAAAAAAAAATATCTCAGAATTTTTTTTCAACTCAACTTTTTCATTTTTTTTCTCTATTAAAAAATAGCAAAGGAAAAAAATTTATGATGCTAAAAAAAACATGTCAGCATTCCGTGTCATGATCCAGAAATAATCCATCGCGCGCACAGAAAGAAAAAATATATGAAGAAAGAAAAAAAATCGCCACGTACCCAAGACGCAAAAAGTAAACAATCAATTTAAAAAACCAAACAAACCGTTTCACTTCATACAGAAACTGACAGCGACGCCATATTGTGCACTGTTACCAATGACAACCAATATTTTTTTTTTTCATTCTGGAGTTACTCCCCTTGACTTTGGAATGCCTGGATTGAGTATTTATTTTCATTTTGTAGATACAGTAACGTGGCTATAAGGAAGGCTAGTGTGGGAGTACAGGGCTTCAGCGCCCCACATCACATTTTGCTGGAATTGAAAACTAAATGGATTATATTTATCTTATTAATATTAATAAAACTTCATCATCTCTTCTTTTTTTTTTTTTTTTGAAACATCAACGTCTAAAACTTCTTTTTCGGCTCATTCCAGAAAAACGTATGAACAATCAGCAGAAAATGTGTATTTAAAATAAAAAAAAAATTGGTTTACTTTAGTATGATAGATCTAAAAAGATCTAAAAAAAAAATTAAATTAATTTTCTTTTTTTCCTTCCATCAGCATGGCTGATGCTAACCTCCATTGCACCTTTTTGGTCTCATGTTTTTCACTGATGACATGAAGTGGAGGGATTATATTGAGTCAATTGCTAGGTCTGCTGCACCCATAGAACATATACAGATCCCACCTCCAAAATATATACAAACTTCAGAAAATGAAAACTTGTCTTTCGTAATTTTATCAAATTGTGATAATTTACAGTAGTTAGTACAATATTTTCTCAACAAATAACATAACATTAAACAAGAAAATGAAAATGCAAATGCAGCAATCTCACTGGACAATTTGACCAATGTTGCCCAAGCATTAGTTCACTGTACTAATAAATGTCTGGAAACTGAAGGCTACTGTCGGAGTTAACTCCTCCTCCTTCACTTCGTAACCCTTTCACCAGGGGTCTCTCTTCCCTGGCTATAAATAGCCGTTGACCCTTCACCTCTCTCTCTTTTTTCCTCCAGGCCTGTGCACTGACACCTTGAGGTAAACTCTCTTATTCCTAGAGGATTTTCAGCTATCAACCTTGAAATGTAGTCGCTAACAAGGGATAGCGTGGAAACACACTAAGCACAATATTCACACACGCACGCACATACAGAATATTCACACACGCACACACACACAGAATATTCACACACACTTCGTCCTTTGTACTGTTTCCATGTATTGTAACTTGTTATTAATATATATTTGTATATACATATATTATCGGTCTTGTTTTGTTTGCTTTTTTTACCTTCTACTTGGTTATTTCTCTTGTTGTTGTCTTTGTTACATTTGATATTGTAAAAATTGTAGAGGGTCAGTTTTTATTTCTATTTATAACCAATACAAATTGGCTGACCCACTATACTACCATTTTGAGCATCTCTTATGGTTGTAGAGTTCAAAGATAACTTGTATTAATCTTGTGATGTCTGAATAAATTTGGTATTAGAATATCTATACAAATTATTCCTTTCCTGAAGTGTGTATACATTTTGGGGACAGACTCTCTATATATAAACAGGGAGAGAGAGATGTGCATGCAGTGTCGTGGTTGTTATTGTTTGAGAAAATAGGATTGGTGTACAGAGTAAAAATTATATTCAAGTTTATTGCATTCACTTTCAAACAAATATCTTTTCCATCCCCTCCAAATAACAAGGCAGACTGAGCTCACTAACCTTGATTGGCAATCATTCTAGAAGGACAACTTTGAATACAAAACTAGTTAGACATGTGGCTGGTAACTTCACTCTGTAAAAAAACTCACTGGATGCAGAAACCACAGTGGCAACAACTAGTGCGGTGAGGCTGTGGCCTTTTGATCTACAGGGGAGTCTAATTTTTTTATTTTTTAATCATTTCGCCCTCAAGCAAGGCAATAAAGCTACTAACATGCAAAAGGTTACTGAGTGTGAAAGAACATGAGAAAAAGGAAAACATTATTAAAGAGAAAGAACAATAAAAGAAGAGGAATTAAGAAGATAATGATTGACATTGCATTTAAAATTTTGAAGCTTAAAATTGGCTGTAAAGCAAGAAGTCAAAAGAGAGTTCTATAAGCGAGGAGTGTGAGAAAAGAAACTGTTAGTAAAGAACTTACAGTTACCTCTAACCATTTCAACAGTAAAATGATGAGACTTAGCTGCCAATCTGTACTTAAATTCATAAAGTCAAGGTACCAATTAGGAAAACTTTATATATATGATAAAAATTTTAAAATAATTTAATTTTTATAATTAATATAGAATTTAAAAAAATTTTAATACAGGATTTTTTTTTAATTTTTATAATTAATACCAAATATTTTTATTTTTTTTAATTAATATCAATTTTTTTTTAATTATTATAAATATTATAGGATTTGATTTGGTTTATATAATTAATATAGAATTTTTTATTTTTATAATTAATATAGAATTTTTTTTTTTTTATAATTAATATAGGATTTTTTTTTTAAATTTTATGATATAGAATTTCGTTTTTTAATACAGGATTTTTTTTTTAATTTTATAATTAATACTAAATTTTTAAAACATTTTATAATTACATTTTTTTTTTAATTATTATAAATAATAAAGGATTTTTTTTAAATTTTACAATAAATATAGAATGTCTTTTAAATTTCTATAATTCATATCGGATTTTACAGCACATATTAATTGGTTAATGTTAAATTTACAATTGAGAATTAAAGTTGTGACATAGTAATAATGGCCAAATAAATTAGACTTTGTACTCATTACAGAGGACCTAAGTGTCCATGTTAGGGTTGTAGGTTTTATGACATGTCAAGCCCTATTAGGGTATTTAATGGCAGACTTTGCATGAAGCAGCCCATATATAATCCTTAAATGCTCACTATTCTATCATTGGGACAGTGGGCACTAATGGGTCATAGGAAGAAAGCTATAATTAATACTGGAATTAAATGTCTATCAATGAATTGAAAAAGACATGATTGGCCAAGCATGTATCATGTATGGCACTTAACTGACTGATATTATATGCATATATCCTATATACATGTTTTAAATTCTCTATATTTTGACAGCAATCATCCTTCCAAACAAATCAAAATCAAAATCCAGGGCCTTCTCACTCCTGTAAGAGGAACCGCTCCCTGGTTGACCATGTCTTCAGGAGTGTATAATTATCATTAATTCACTCATTCTAAACCAATGAGAATCAACTTCACTTTTCTCCTCTACATACACAAACATGAGATTCTCACTATTGGACAAGCAGTCAACAGGGACAGGCCATCAACATGTGAATAAATAAAAATTTTGCCTCCTTTTCCTTTTTCAAGCCATAATGATAACGTTTATCTCTTAACAAAAATTTGAGATAAGAAAACCCCAGACACTTGTATTTTCCAACTAAATTATCTGGACACTCATTACACACATCTATAAAAAAAACGTATGAGAAAGACTGTATACATTTTATTTACTCTTTATCTTATGATTGTTGGATTCCAATCCATATTCAATCTACATTTGACTCCAAACTCACAATTTTACTCAGTATTACTTTCTCTCATGTCTCCAGCACCACATAAAAACCAGATAATAAATAATACATGGTTTATTATTTCCACATCTTCCTGTTTCTCATTTTTATGAGTATTTTTGTATATAGAAATGTAAAGGAGTTTATGGATAGTGGCTCAGATTGAAGAATCGGAGAACTGAGTTCAAATTCCAGTCAAATCCATTACATTCATTTACGTGCTAATACCCTTGGGAAAGGTAGAATCCACTTCTTCTCCCCCCAGCTATGGTTAAAATAGCAGGACAGACCAGGTTCTATAGCTTTGGATGGCAACTGGTCTACGACAGAAAGAAATGGCAACCTACTGCTGGAAAAAAATCTGCCTCATCAGTCATGTATTGAAAGATACATGATCGCCTAAGCGTGTATCATGCATAGCACATAACTGACTAAAATTCACTTACATGCTAATACACTTGGGAAAGGTATGAATCCTCTTCTTCTCCCCCCAACTATGGGTAAATAACAGGACAGACCGGGTTCTATAACCTTAGATGGCAAGTGGTCTATCGCAGAAAGAAATGGCAACATACTGCTGGAAAAATCTCCCTTGTCAGTCATGTTCGCCTAAGCATGTATCATGTATGGCACATAACTGACTCAGAGTTATAACTCCCCTACAGATGTAGCCGTATTCACTGCACTTGGCCAAATGTAGATTGATGAGGCTATTTGAACCATAGTTGGAAGATTTAAATTCAGAATTGTCCTTCTAGATTGATTGACATCCAAGGATTTTTTTAAACAATAAACATTGCCGCCGAGTGGATGTAGTTAAAAAAATAGTAGTGTCAATGTTTTTTTGCAGGCACATAGGTTCAAAATTTGCCTGTTTTTTTTTTCTTATATTTTTTCATACTCAGTAAACTCCTTTGCATTATTCAGTATTATGCCTTTGAATTCCCTGAGGGTCATATAATATCACTGTGGTTTCTATAACAAGCCAGGTTAGTCACATAATATCACTTTTGTTCAGGTCTGTCCCAGTGTCTGTCCTGTGATTTACCCATAGCTCGAAGAGAAGAAGAGGATTCATACCTTTCCTAAGGGTATTAGCACATAAGTGAATGTAATGGATTCAACTGGAATTTGGACTCAGCTCTCCAATTCCTCAATTCTGGCCGCTATCCATTACTCCACCGTGCCTGCTTTATTGCTTTGCTAGGAG